GAAAACAAATAAAATCAATTACAGATTTGCCTAGACTACTACTGAAGATGAATTCACCTTCAATATCATTAAATCTACCATTCAAAATTATTAAATCATGGTCATCCCACAGTTCTAATATTTTGGAACCTCGGCCATTAATGATCCTATCTCTTGATTTCCTTAACGGGTTACAATTAGGATTATCCAAAATTAAATCAGAGGGTAGGGACTGAGAATCTGCAATCCTAGCATTGAAGTCCCCAGCTAAAACAAATTTAATGTGTGAATTTTTAACGAGAAAGTTTGACAAACTAGAAAAATCTGAGTCCCATGAATCGCCACGTAAATACATGGGCAAAATATACAATTCAATTAGATTTTTAACATAAATAACTTTAACGTCATCAATATCTAGAACTTTAACCTGACATTGTGGTAAATTAGATCTAATTGCATACAATGTACCCCCCATAGCGCGGCCAAAACGAGCCTGCCTCGTGGCAGGAATCCAGCACAAACAATATCCATCAAAATATTTACTGTATACATTAAATTTATCGTCTATAAAAGTTTCCAACAATACAAAAATATCATATCTCTTAATAAATTGTAAAAAAGCACAAGTCGGATCATTTAATTTAGATTTTAAACCTGTTACATTATATACAATAAGAGAAATTGTTGTAGTGGAAGAGCCTTCATGAATTTTCTGCAGGCAGACTGGCCTATCTCATTCTTTACGTGATGAAACCGATGTTGTAGCGTTATTTTCAGATACGATTACATTTGAAAAATAATCTCTTGATAGAGTATCAGTGCGAACAGCTGTTATAAAATTAGACAGATCAGCGCCTACCAGACCGTTCAAAATTTTCACACTGTCTTCGCTCCCATACTCCAAACCAACGTCTTCAGACCAATTAAATATTTTATTTAAAATAATGAAACGATCGGCACGGACAATAACGTTAATTTTTTTATTTAAACGTCTGATTTCCTTTCTAAGTTACAGAAGTTTACTTCTTCTCATCCTAGTCCTTTCACCAAAATCCTGGTGTATCATAAATCCTGTTCTTCGCAGCCGTTTTAAGGAGTTCATTATTAATAATTTATCTTTATATCTCATAAATGAGACCATAATTGGTTTAATAGGGGCCGTTGCTCGTCCCAGAGGAAAAGTATACAAAAATTCTTGTATGCTTGTTTTTTTCCATTGTAAAGTTTACTAAAATGATATAACGAGATTTTCATTGCCTGCTATGGTTAGGTCAAAAATTGTCATACTAATTGAAAGGGGATAATGTTGGGATTTCACAAAGAGAAAATTCATCAAATTATTCACTACCTTAATTTTTTAAAAGATTACTTGTTGTTTGATGTTTGGATGATGTTTTTTGGAATAAACGGCCGATAGATACCTGATTATTTAAATATAATATTTTATCTAGAGTTAATACTCTATAGTAAATATATTTGAGGTTATAAACATATCCATGAAATATTTTGATATTTCACTTCTTCTTTCACACAAGTACAATGAAATAATATTTTAAACAATGGCATTGGCTTGATTCGGTGAATTTTAAATACTTTTTTTTTTAGAAAAACATTTAAAAGTTTACATATAGTAAGAAAATTTAATTTAATTTCCTTGGGAAAATGTGATATATGTTAAATAATGTTAGTTTTCTGAAATTAATATTTATATTTATTTCGTCAATCTCCGTTACCTTCTACAACTTTCTATATTAGATATTGGACAGGGGTTTCCACACACCTTGCCATCCTTTCCCTTTGTTAAAGTCTCTGAACCCACATGACTCCTCATTAAAGTCTCCGGGGTTCTGGACTTTGTGGGAGTCCGCCAGGCATTGAACTCTCCATACGTTCGCCTTTGTAGGTCTCAGGTACTCCACCATTAAAATCTCCTATCCTGGACCCCCTGTACCAAGGGCCGCCATAATGTTTTATCCTTCCTCTTTTCGGTACCTCGTCTTTTAGGATGTCCCTCTTCCATCCACCTTGGACATTCTTCATTTCTTAGGCTTATGCAAGTCTAGATTTCAGAAACTCCTCAGATACGTAATCATTTACGAGATAATGGACAAATTGTTACAAGTTTTGACCAGTCAATCCAATCAGGACTAAACTTTGGATTTGGGTTCTTCACAACAAATAACTCTCCCTTCAACTTCTGCCAATGCTACCTAGATCTCGAATTATAGTGAAAACAAACAATGATACGGAAAGCATCGCCACTCAAAAACTTCTCAAAATTTTAGTGGTTTTATGTACTCCTGTACACTGGGAGTCCCGCCTCGCCAGAGTTCTCAAATTGAATTGGGCACTTAATTAAAAACAGTTTTTAATTTTCCGAGGACATAGATCTTTAAGAACAGTCTCCGAGTGGGAGCTCTACCAGCACAGGTCCTTCCTGCTCAGTGTTGGGCAAAGTGTATCTTAAATAAAAGATAATAGATAACGAATAATTCTGTTTATCTTTTATCTAGATAATAAATAAATTCAAGTTATCTAATATCCTTTTATCTATCATTCGAGTTTTTCAAATAAATTTCGAATAATTTGACGCTAATTTTATTTTCTTCTATATAAGGACTAATTTATTTATTTTCAGATCCGTAGCTTTTGAAAACGGTCTCCATTTTAAGATTACGCCACTGCGTTGCGACTTTTTTGAGTTTTTTTTATAACTTCGATAAAAAAAATTATTTATATTTTTCGGGGCTCTACTTTTTTAAATTGTTCACCATTTCAAAACCACGCCACTGGGTTGCGACTTTTTCGGATTTATTCATATCAGAGTTTGGGGGAGCTTTTTATGAAGATACTGTCGGATTTGAGATGGCGCCCCCGGGCATTGACTTTGTAACTTTTCGGATTAAATCAATATGAGGGTCCACTATTATGTTTTGGAGGGGGGCGCTTTTTATGAAAATTCTATCGGAATTTAGACTGCGCCCCCGGGCATCGACTTTTTGTAACTTTCCAAATTATATAAATATTAGGGTCGACTATAATATTTCAGGGGGCACCCAAAACATAATAGTCGACCCTAATATCGATTTAATCTTAAAAGTTACAAAAAGGCGATGCCCGGGGGCGCTATCTCAAATCTGATAGTATTTTTACAAAAACGGCGGCCCCAAAACATAATAGTCCACCCTCATATCGATTAAATGCTAGGACAGTACATCTAAATGCTGAAGACCATTTTCAAAAACATAAACACTGCTCCTAAAACATATAAACAGACCTTAATATCAAAGAAATCCTTAAAATTACAAAAAGAATGATTCGAATTGTATTTTTATTTTAAATAACGAATAATAGATAATAGATAATGCTTATTATTTTTAAATAATAAATAATTATCTGTCCAAAGGTCCTCAAATAAGAATAAAGAATAAAAATGTATCTATTATTCCTTATCTTGATAAAATTTCAAATAATTTTATTTGAATAACGCGAGAAAGTTTAAACTATACCTAACTTAAACTATTATATAGTAAGACTGATTGAGTAGTGATCAGAAAACTCCTTTGATATGATCCAATGATGAGCAAATACAGATGCTAGATCATGTTAAAGAGTTAGATGAAAATGAAGAATTAAATTTCAATGAATCTTAAAATGTAATTGAATTTATTTCTACCTAACAACATATTGAAAGTGGTGAAAAGAAACAAAATATTGGCAAAGTGCGGTCAAAAGAAGCAGAGATAAAACTACTAAGAAATGAATATGTTACATGTTGACCATATATATGTTCAATACTAGACAATGAATAAATTAAAAATTTAAATCAAGAACTTATTAGAAGTCAGAATTATTGAGGAATCTGAATCTCCACTTGGTTCACCACTTACCTTAGCTTATAATAAAAATCCCACTTATATATTGATTTTAGAATCTTAGAAAGTTTTTCTTTTAAGGCTATAAACAGAGATATGTTGAGTAGTGTAATCATTGATTAAGATATCTCTCATATCTGGAGTTCGATTGTCTATGGCCATGAGATTGTACATTACTACTTCAAAGTTTTCATTATACAGATCTTTTTGGTTCTTAAGAGTAGGTACCTGTTCTTGGCCGATATCAAATTGGTTCAATCGTGGAAAGATTTCAAATACTGAATATCAGAACGGTTACTCGCATGATAAGCATACATAACGCAATGAATATTCAATATCACGAAATTTTGTTAGCATCAGTCCCTTTGGTCCACGCGAATAAGAATCAAATAAATAAAACAAACCATTACTTTTAAAAATGGAAATGGAAATCTGATTCTCACTGGTAACAATGCTCCTGAGAGTTAAGATTGTAAGAAAGCTGCGATTCCCTCCAGGAGGGAACAAAATCCTTCTGGTACTAGCTGTGTATCACTGGCTCTGATGAAGCCTACTACCATATCAAGTGAAAAATGGTTTACTGCTATGACTGTTTTAGTAAATCAGTTGCCAAGTAATCGAGCGCGTTACAAGAGTTGATGTGTGCATTAAAGGTAATAACTGTTCCCTGCCATTAAAATTCAATCCAAGTCAGAAGAACTCCAACATGGAGGGTAATTTCACGAAGAGTAAGCTAGTGAAACGGCAGCATTAGCTGTGAACTGTTTACTTCTATAGTTTTGGTTAAACCTAATACTTCCCTGCCCTAATAGCGAATCTCTTTCAGTAGATTCAATTTCGACAATATTGGAACAAAGTTGGAAGGAGAATAAATTAATTTGGACTGAATTATATAAATGTATATATTTGAACGAGCCATTTCAATGGCAGATCGACCCAATACCTCCTGAACTGAGCAACATTTTCAAATCTTCCAGTCACAGATATAGAGCTATGACCAGAATGATTAGGTTTATAAGTTTTTGTACACAAAAAGGTGGAAGAAAATTTATCAAGGATGTTTATTGAATCTGTTGGAGGAAATTGTATGATTTGTTTAGGAAAATAGTTTCCAGCAAAAGAAACAATGTTTTGTTTGCTGGAAACTTGCTGGAAAAACTGGCTATATGAGAGACCTTATTATGTCAAATAGTTATTTTATATCTGTAAATGTACAAATTATAATGGAATTCTTCTATTTTATAAATATTTATATTAAATACCGCTTCATACACTTCTTTTTCTTTCTCTTCCACCCACTTGCCTCTCAGCGTGGGGGTGCTTCCAGCCATCGGTTTCCATGCATCCCTGTTCCCGGCAAGGTTCATCATCTCTTCCAGGGTCTTCCCTCTTCGTCTTCCAATTCCTTCCACATGACTAACGTATGAGGTTCTTGGTCGCCCTCTCTATCATCTCCCCATCGGCTTCACCTCTAGGGTTTTAACTGGGTCTCTGTGGTAGTCCATCCGGCAGACATGTCCGTACCACCTCAGCTGTCTCCTCTCCAGAGTTTCTAGCACGGGGCGTATCTTAAGCTCACAGTTCTTTGCAACAACCTGAATTTCCAGGTCTTCTTCAGGGGGTTGTATGCAGTTGGGAGTTTGGGTTGAAACCAGTTACAAATATTAAACTTAGATTTGTGTAAATGAAATTTTGACTTCAGAAAATTAAAGATGCTAGGACTAATCGATTCTGTGGAATCAATATGAGTTCTCGTATTTTAAATACCAGAAGATGGGGAGAATGAAACGTGTAGCGAAAGGTAGAGAATCAGAGTTATAGTGAAGTTGGGGTAAAGCCTGAGGTGTGGATCTGTTACTTGGAGTCTGGTACTGCAGGGAAGAGGTGCTCTGAGTTTGTAACTTGTCATTTTTCGTCCTGTGTTTTTGTGATATATTGAATACTTGATTGTTGACCGTGATATATTATTGAATAAGAAGATGGTCCGGGGTGGCGGTCATAAAAAGACTAAAATAGTAAACATTCCGACTAAGAATGGAAATTCATTTTCTTCACAAGCTCTTGGCCCAAAATTAGTCGAAGACAAGTTGATGCTTATTTCCCGAAAATTCAATGAAAAATTAACCAAAATTAATGCATAATATTAACTACATTACAATTATAATTTAAGAAAAAAACGATCTAATATCACAATTATTAATCACAGATGAGAAACTGAATTTGAAAAAACAGCATTTTCGCAGGTTACAACTATCAAGAAAATGCATGTACTGGTTTCATGGCAGATTTTTCTGGATTGTTAAACCCACATTCTGGGCACTCAAATGAACTGTCCAACTCTCTGTTAGTCTGAAACAAAAAGTACACAACGTAAATATTTCATAACTGTCATAGTTCCTAAGGAAAATAATAAGTTTTAACTTACTGCCAGACAATGGAAGCAAAAGCAATGAGAGCATCCCATTTGATGAGGTAATATAGGCGATTCTCCACAAAGTGCACATTTGCTAATAGAAGAGAAGGTGTGGTTCAAAGATAAGGATTCAGAAGATACGGATCCTTTAATCATTTTTGTTACTTTTCTTTTCAATTTAGAATAGTTTATGAGTGGAATAATAATAACTAAAAACTCCTGCAAAGAAAAAACAAACCAAACATATTAACAAGTCATAAATAATAAACTTTAAAACAGAACAAAACAAATATCATATAGAATAACATTAAAATCCAATATTTTTCATATATTCTGACGATAACAAACGTTTGGCTAATAGGAAACTATAGTATAGTTTCCTCACCAATTATATTGGTTAGGTACATAATTACCCATAACTAAATGAAGAATTTATATAGAATTTGTCATTTGAGAATAAAATGTTTTAACAAGGAAAACGCATTTAATTTATCTGATGATGATGTTCTGCACAACATTATTAACTTTCTCAATCTCGGGGAATCATCTAACTTCTTTCAATCTAATTATGACAAAAACATAATATAACTAATCGCTGATTTAGAAAGTATTCTAGATGACCTTGATATGTATGATAGTCATATAAATTCTCTTAAAAATAATATAAATAAATGCATACTTAATTTTATTAATGAAGGAAAAATTAATAATAAATCCATATATGTTAATGGCAAAATTTGATTGTAAAATCACAAAGACATTTCTCAAAAATAATCCCGAATTATATTTGATCAAAACAGATAAAACAAAAAAAAATTAGCATTTAGCCTCAAAGAACAATACAATAAGAAGATGTTATATCTATTAAATGACAAGTATGTGCATAAAATCAAAAGGTATAACTCTGGAAAAGGTTTAAATAAAATGGTCACAGATTATGTCAACAAATTAGAAAAATTCAAATTTATAGATAAGAATAATAGGCTTCACCTCATTAATAACCATTATATAAATAGGCAAACACAAAACGGTTCAGCCCCTTTGTCTCCTCTATTATTCAACCGATTTTCTTCCTTCTTTTTTTGTTTAATAACTATTGACGAGCTTTAGTGTTGTCAATAAATAAAAATATGAAATAGTTTGTAAATAAATATATAAATGGTTGTTTGCTCAAAACAGCTAATCTCTGAAAGTTCTTCACCTTTCTTCAAGTTCAAATTTCTTTGAAATTTTGACATAGCGTCGCAATAGTCTTTCACAAAACGTGATTTGCTTCAGACTGTAGCGCCAATACAGCTTTAACGATTATAATGAAACTTGGCTAAAGTCTTCTCATTGAAACAATTATAATTTATATATATAACATACTTTTCCGAAAACAAGCTGCATAAACATTTATCATGAATTCAGTATTTTTTTTGCGAATAACTCAAAAAGTACAGAATTTTTTATTGATAATACCAATATTTATTTGAAAGCTTCCTGAATTCCCGACAAAATAAAAAAATCATCGAAATTGATAAGAATTATCTCCGAAATGAAAGAAATCTTAGCAGCCGTAGAAGTAAAGTGGGTTCAAATATTTTTTTAAGCAGGAACAAAGTTGAGATTTGTATTTCACACCTCGATAAACCCCCAATTACCAATTGTCACTGGAATCGAAAAAATATACATTTTTTGCGTCAAATTTTGAAGGTAGAGAGAGGCCTTCATTTTTTTTCTAAAAATCACAAAAGTTGCCATAATTTCCATATGACTCAAGTCATCTAAATGAAAATTTTCATGCATTTAGGGTCCTATAATATACAGATGAATTCAGTATTTTATTTGCGAATAACTTAAAAAGTACACAATTTTTTATTGATAATATCTATATTTATTTGAAAGCTTTCTGAATTGCCTATAAAATAAAAAAATCATCGAAATTGGACTATTTGTTGCAGAGATATATCATTTAAAACATTTAGTACTTTTTCTTTTGCAAATTCGATTTCCTTTATTTTGGTTTTTGATATTTACTGAGATAATTGCGACTATTATTTCAAGAGATGATATCATTGAATAAATTTAATTTATGAGATAACATTCCAACCTCATAAATTAAATTTTAAAATAAATTCTGTAGTTATACTCATTCTTAACTTAAATACTGCACAAGCATTAGTTAATGGAACATGAATGAGAGTGAAGTACTGACAGGAGCAACTTTAAATAAAAGAATTTGAATTCCAAGAATTAATTAAATATTATCTGACACAATACTTCCATTCAAATTTCAAAGAACAACGTTCTTATTAATAGCTGCATTTGCCATGACCAAAATCAAATCACAGGGTCAAAGTTTTGGAAAAATTCGTGTATCATTGCGACGTCCAGAAATTTCACGTGGACAATTATTTGTGGCAGCAAGTAGAGCATTTCAAATTTTGAAGTTTATATTTCAAATGGCAATGGGCAAGGCAATGTACTAAACAATAACAGAACATTCAAAAGGAACATTGTTTACAGAGAAATTCTGCATAAAAATGGATTTAAACTCAGTTGAAATTGATAATTTAAATTTATTTTTTAATTGCTTAATCATAACATGTATTTATTGTGATAATAACACACATAAATTAAAAGTTTTGAATGTGAAGTCTATTTTGTATATAAATAATTTTAAGTAGTTAAGGATCAATTTTAAATTGAAATTGAAATTTTATTTATATTAATAAATGAGGATTTTTGAATTGTTATTTACCCTTTATTTATTGAATTTATTTTTTATTTAATTATGTTTTCCTCAAATTTTTAATGGCTACGGTCGAATTTCGACCACTGGGCGAACACTAGTTATCATTAAACAACAAAAATTAAGTCTGGTAAAAATGCATAAAACAGATGAACCTTGACGATCAATAGTAGATGCTACGAGAGGCCTGACATACATGTAAAAATTTTTAAACCAGTTTTGTAGTAATAACCCTACTGATGTAAAAAACACAATAAATATATAAAACAAAATTAACTCCGTAATTATTATAAAAGATGAGTATTCTATTTTCATCTATGATATAAAATATTTTTTTACAAACACACTTATATTTTATTTTTTTACAAAATCAAAAATGGTCTACAAACACCATTTTTTTGAACCACACACACCAATAAAAAGCAAAACTATGTTTCTTGAAGGAACCAAACTTTCAACAGATGATGGATAAAACTGAAGAACATTCTATATATTTGTTTGGTTGATAACCTTAATTCAATTCGTCCCAAAATAGAAATCATAAACAAATACATAGGTAATAGAAAATGACAACTGCATTAATTATTTGGAAATAACAATTGGAAAAAACAAAAATTAAATGGAATAAAAAAAAAACAATAACAGCAGTTCCAATTTATTTGGATAGAAACTGTTTTTTTATATTGCAGAAATTTGTTGATTATGATATATATTACATTTGAAGACGGGATGGCCGAGCATGTTGGGACATGGGTCTCAGAGTGCCCAGTTCTGAAGATTTTTGGTTCGATTCCCACCTGGGTCAGTTACTTTTCATATCTCGGCAGCCCCAGGAAATGAATCATGCCATTCCCACTCTGGTAAGTTCGCGTCAACCTTGAGGTAGCCAGCAGGGGTTGGCAAAAAGGACAATGATAGGTCCACATGCCAGACTAGTTCCCTCACCAATACCAGTACCAGTATATTAGAAATAATAATAATCAATAATGAAACTTTAAATAATGGTGAACGAAATAAGATGTTGTCGGGTAACTTAAGCTATAATTTTCATAATATAGATGGTGCTGACGGTCAACACTCACTACTCAGTATGATGGTGTCTGACGATGCGGAATTTTGGTCCCTGACAGAGAATTTTCCTTACACCCTCCTGACTTAGTATAGAGATGTTACTCAATACCTAAACCTTCTACTCTCTCCCCCCTTACTTTCTTTCTTATTTCGTTCGGTTCACTTGGTTGGATCTTGTTCCATATCTCTATGCACTTTTCCAGGTTCTGGAAGTGTGAGGTCACCTATCTTGGCAAGGTCTATATTGCATTCACAGCTTGCTGAGCCCTGGATGTTATAGGGGTTAATCCCCTATCATTCTTGACGGCCTTATTTCGCTTAACCTTCCTAAGCTCATCCATTCCATTCTCTTCTTTAAATGTAAATAGATTTTGTTAAGGATAGAACAAGATATTTGAAAGTTATATAGATATTAAAAAAAGAAAGAGAGATTATATTATGAACTGTACGAATGAAGACTTGCAGCCCTAATACTTTATGCCCTTCAATGTGGCAGGTTGTATTATTATTCAATAAAGTTGTACAAAAAAAGTTATACTTCATCAAAATGGTATTAAAACAAAAGAAGGTTTACGTCCATCATATGAATTTGCTTATCAGACAGAACCTATTCATTCCTTAACGTCTAAAATATAAAACTTGAAAGGAAATATTTGGAGAACAAATTTTTATCTTATCTTCAATATAGAGGAAACGAAAAATTCGAATATAAACTAAATATTATAATAAACTCACCATAAAACCATGCCAAATCAGTTCCCTCGTCATGTACACATAACCCACATTTCTTTTAGAAGTTGGAACAGTTGAGACAGGAGTCAAATTAAGAATATATTCCAAAAAACTTGGAGCACCTCCCTTTCTTAAAAAATTCACAATTGTAAAAATATTAAGAATTTTAATAAATGTTTCAACTTTATCCATTAACGAATCTGAAAATGAAATTTAAAAACATAATGTTAATTGATTAAGTAAATTGATCAATTATAAAACATAAAATACATAAATATACAAACATATATAATAAAGCATAAATCATTGTTTGCAATGCTCTGAAGATTGGGCATTTAAGCCCTGTAAAGTGATATGAGTGGGGATAAGACCTAAATGATTAAAAACAACTTAATAATACACTGATGTACAGAATTGGATCAGATTCGTTAGCCGTTTTCGAGAAAATCATAAAAATGTGTGACATCGATTATATAAAGTGCCACTTCCGGTTAGCCGATTTTGACGAAAAAATTGCTGTAACATCTGAGGTATATACAACCAATAAATATGCAATTTCACTTTCATACGACTTATCATTTTTGAGCTAGACTGATAACATACAGACGCACACCGTTTTGAGGGACTTGATTATTTGGACTCAGGAGACCTCAAAACTCAGACTAGAAAATTTTCAGGATTGTAATACTGTCTCTTACTATATATATTTCATATATAGATAAGTGAAAGTAATAAACTTATTCTGTTTCACCAGTAAAGTTGTTTAAAATTAAACTTACAATGTGTGGGAGGGGAGGAAGTGGAAGGAGGGGTGCAAAAATTGTCTGAGTAAAAAAAAATGAAGCATATTACAATTTAAATTAATTGAGCATATTAAAACATGAAGGTTACTATATACCATTTGATTTCTTTGGTTAGTGCATATTAAGAAAAAATATTGCTAAAAGCATTATATGAGTTTAAATGTATCATGAATTACAAAAGTCAAAAGACACTTCTCAAGGGCCAACACCAGAGCTGATGAGACAGGTCTGCTAGTTTTCAAAAGAAAAATACTGAGGAGAATTATTAGTCCAGCTCGAGAGGGAAGCACCTGGAGAAGGTAGAAGAATATGAAGCTTTCTGGGCTGTATAATAACACTGACAGGGTCATATTTATTAAGCTCAGGAGACTTTAATGGGCAGGACAGGCCACCTTGTGAGGATGGAGGATGACCATATAACAAACAAGATTCTGACAGTAGAGAGTTAGTCGGCCTAACATTAGATGGATGTACTCCGTTGCTATAGAAGAGCGGGTGCTTCCTGGCATCCAAAACTGGAGAGCTGCTGCAGCAGACCAAGCTAACTGGCAGAAATCTTTTAATTAACAATTTGATGAAAATAACATATCCGCTTTCAACAAATTTATGCAAGTTTTTCCCAATATTTCGAAACACTTACTTCTTATTCATTTTTTCAATTAAGGCATCAAGTTCCAAAAAACTATCAGACATTCATTAAATGAAGTAAAAGCATGAGGTTTTTTTTTTATTAAAATATTGTGATTTATGGCTTGAATATTTAGGCTAAATTTCAGATTTTTCTGATATCAATCAAACAATCAATTCAATTGTGGATTTCATTCCAATTCAATAACATTAATGATATTCAAGGACATTGAGATCATTATTTATTGACAGATGAAGAGATCAATGAAAAAGCTGAGTAAAAATAGAAATATAGGCAAAAAAAAATAATAAATATATATATATATATATATATATATATATATATATATATATATATATATATATATATATATATGTGTGTGTGTGTATACGTACTAACTCTCCTTAAACTCTGATTGCTTCCGGAGAGATTCCAAATCCTTTCTTTGATATATGAGCCACCAATAGTTAACAGTCCAAGAGCTCTCAATTTCCAAACATGAGAATCATTAGAATACTTTAAATGCAACAATTGTTGACCAAATGATGATTTTGATCTATCAATTGAAACCTAAAATATTCATTAAACAATAATTAGGTCAAATAATAGTTTTCAAAAACATATATCGCTATAGTCAGACATAGTTACTTCATGCCAAAAAACAATCCCTTGGTCATGCTAGAATTAGAAGCAGCAACAAAATTCATCTTACTTTCTGGAGTGAATAAAATATTAATTAAACATTAATGTATTGATAAGACATTTATTTGTTGGTTCAGAGCTAATATTTCTTTTTTTTTATTACTTTTTTTTTTTTTAGATACATTAGAATCTTTAAATACTGCATTAATTTTTTTAATCATTAAAGTGGTATTTAATTAATAACTTCTATGTCAAAAAACCATAATACAAAACCGGATATATAAATAACAGATTTTATTAAACGACATTAGAAACATTTTTTGGAATCTAGTTATTGGGTTCAGGGCAGTCAGACCAAGAATATATTTCATAGCAGTACAAGGAGGATTTAACAAAATCAAACATATGGTATCTGAATATTAAACCAGACATCCAGCAGGAGTGAAAGTAAACTTTGTTCATACAAACAAATCTAAATAGGTTTCTGAGTTCAATTATCTAGGATCACAGATAACAAATGACAATCAGGTATTAAATTCAGTAGAAAAAAAGGATTATGTTTGCAAGTCAGTACTACTTAGCACAACAAAACATCTATAAACTTTGTTTCTTAAAGAACCAAGATAGTTCTATGCAAGACACTGATTCGCCCAGTTCTCATATATGAATCAGAAACAACTACTACAGCTGAAGGGAAAAAACCTCCTCCAAATAATTAAAAGAAAAGTCCTCAAGTGTATATATGAACCTGTCTATTCAGCAGGAGTTTGGAGACGAAGATATAATCAGAAAACATAAGAGTTGTTTGGAGAATCAGTAATTGAAATTATGAAACTGGGAAGGCTGGAATGATCTGGTCATGTGGCAAGAATGAGTGATGACATGATCCCATAAAAACAAATGACAGAAACCACATGTGGAAGACATAGAGCAGGAAGGCCAAGACTACAACGGCAGAGCTATGGCCAATGATGTGAGGAATATTGGTATTGGAAACTGGATCGTTCCCAGAATAAAAAAAAATGACAAGAATTAAGGGTAAAACTGAGAAATTTTATTGGAAATTGTTGGAAATGGGGTGAAAACACAAAAAAATAAGTTGACATATGAGATAAATATAGTGTAAAATTGTCTAACTAACTGATGTATATGGTTTAAACTGTAAAGTAAAGCATGAATTTGTTAAAAGTAGGTAGAATGAGATTGAAAATATAGTGTCAGTTTTCTTGTTTGATGTTAATTCAGAAGAAAAATATAAGAAATATAGGTAAAAATGGTAAATTTTTTTGGAAATTGGGTAAAAATACAAATAAATAGGTTCAAATATAAGACAAATATAGTACAAAACTTTAAAATGTAGTTGATGTAGATGGTTTTAAACTGTAGTATAAAGTTTGAATATATGTTAAATTTAAACAAAAAGTATAAGAAATTTAGGTATAAATGGTGAATTTTATTGAAAATAATGGAAAATGGGGTAAAAATACAAAAAATATAAGATAAATATACTACAACACAATGCCTATGAAACTAATATAAATGGGTTCATAATAATTAAAATCCAGAATATCACCCTTCTTATGCAGTATATTAATAATCCCCTTCTTCCACTGATTTGGCATTCTTTCTTCAATCCAAATGATGACAATTATATTGTAGAGGGCTTTTTCAACCTCTTCACCACCTTCCTTCAGAAGTTCAGCTGAGAATCCATCCTCCACTAGAACTTTATTGTTGTTCAGCCTCAACAAAGTCATCATATGTCGGTGGATCAGGGAGGGTCATCATCATTCTCGCTACTTGGGATCACAAAACCATCTAGATTCTCCCCATCATCATTTAGTTAGGATGGCAGGAATTTTATTATGCAGATATGTTTTCCAAACTTGTTTTTCCTTTTTCACTATCTGCCAAATGGTTTCATTCCACCATTTAGTATGTTTTTTCGAGCCACTCACCTTTCACATGCTACAGCCATCCTTAACGACGCTTAAAATACATCTTGAAATTGTTCCATCGCTCTTTCATGTCTCCTGAAAGGTTCAATCCTCTGATTCTTTTCTCCAAGACAGCTGTATATTGGGCTCTTTTTCTGGGTTGTCAAGCGCTCACACTTTTATCACTTTGAGTGCTTTCAAATGAGGCCCGTTGTCCCTTTATATGTTGGTATAAGCTACCAGAAGAAAGTGATCGGTGCCTATCTCTGCACCTCTGATTGCTTTGATATCAGTGAAGAATTACCTTATTTCTCTGTCATAGATAAAGTAATCTATCACACTGCTCCTGTCAAGATGTAATAAAGTTATTTTATGAATATTTTGGTGTTGATAAAAAGAATTTCCAATAAGCATATTGTTGTCCACACAAAAGTCGATCAAGATTTGACCCTATTAATTTTGTTACATTCTTTCGCCTTCATGAAGTCCAATGACATTATATTCAGAGCCCTATGATCATATCCTATCCTTGCATTGAATTCACCACTCATGATTCCATGCATTTCCTAATCTCTGCTTTTATTCAGAGTTTTTTGCAGGTACAGGATAGAACGTCTCCTTTTCCAAGATTCCGATGTCTACAATGGATGCTTATACTTGGATGAGGAATATCTTTCCCACACTTATTTGGAGATTAACAACTATAAACTGAACACTGCAGGAGTCATGACTCCATCAAGTCCATTTCCGAGGCCTTTCCTTCTGCTCTGAATAAATAATACTCCTCTGTGGAAGATTGACCCTACAAAAGATGCCCCCTTACCTCAGTTCAACTTGGCCTGCTGTTCAACGTTCTGTGGCTATTGTGCAATCAGGATCAAACGAGAGTATCAATATCAACATAAACAGAGATTTTTAAAAACCAACATTACTTATGTGATGACCTTATGTGATAAACTATCAAATAAAATAAAAAGTTGATAACATACCTTCCACATGCAAAATTTCAAAATAGTATTTAATTCAGGTCCTAAGTTGTTTAAAAACCATGCCTGTAATAGAATTATAAACATTAAAAATGTTCTCAGAAATAAAGAACAGGTAATGCAAATAAAATGCATGGAAATATTATATATAATCATCAAACTTACAGGAAGCCATTTGTTTATATATTCAATCTGTGATTTCAGGACTTGGAAAATTACATTATCAACTTCCTTTGCATCAAGCTAAACAAAAAAAATAAATTAAATATATATTAAAAAATAATAAACCAAAATACATATTACTGAATATACTTAATTCCAGAAACAAAATAAAATTATCCTCATAACATAAACTGAACGAAATCACAGTTCGGACAAATTTTTAATTTCTTTAAAAATCTATATTATACATCTCCCTTATTGCCAATTTGTGCTTCCTTATCTATTTCATAATAATTACAATTATATCACAATATAATATAAATAATATTATATATAATATAATAATTAATACATTGTATTCAAGGGGAAATGTCTAGATAGAAAAATAACTGCTGTCACCTAGGTAAAATCAAACTACCACCTCCAGATGGATACTATTTACCATATAAATTTTTAGTCTAAAATCTTTATTTTGTATTAGGAGAGTGTAAGATAACAGGAGCTCAACACATATTTGTAATTAAATGAACAACTGTATATTTTGTAAAATAATCGCCACAGTAGAGCAGCTCCTATTATCTCCTACTCTCCTAATACTAAAATAAAATAAAATATGAAAGTCACTAAAAACTTTTTTATATAATAGAGAAATAAACAGCAATTAAAATAAAGTATTCCAATTTTGAGCACTAAATATATTTGGTTTGTGTAGTTGAAAATAAATTTTATACAGAAAATTCATTGTTTTTATGAAATATTTATTTATCTTTAGATAATTTCCACATATATTATTTCACTAAGCCTTGAAATTTGTTTTTTACCAAATATAAGATGCTTTCAAGGTCAAATGCCATGCATGGGGTATCATTGAATTCCAAATTTAATGGGAGATTAGTGATTTGTAATCTTAGTTGTTATTTTTATTTCAAAAATAAAAGTTGATAAAAACAGTTTACTACGCTTCAATTCTGAAACAGTTTTGATGCTGATATCAAGATCCAGTAAGGTTCCTTACCACACCAGGTATTGAATTTTAAAGCCTGAAAATATACTATTTTCAAATTAATGCACACTAAAGAGTTTGCAACCATCTTAATTGTAGTGCTGCCATGATATAAATATCGCAAGTCATCAATTGGGTTCATATGAATGAAAGAAGAGAGTAGATTATATGTAATATTCTCCAAGCTCCTAAAACATTTCAGAAGCAAATTTCTCTCCCATAACACTAAAGTACTACTTCATAAGACCCTCATAAGACCTGCTTTGACCTATGTGTCTGAATGCTGGACAATATCTCGAGTTGAAAGTTATGAGAACCCAAAAGGACTTTTGCAAAGAGAAGATTGGCCTCACTATGGAAGACCCTGACTCATTACAATTTGCAGTGCCAGAAGGATGAATGCATACAATAGATAATATATTCCATTAGTCACAAGACTACAAAAAAAATTGTTTTTTAGTAATGTCTCTGTTTACCTCAATCAATGGACAGTTACAAACAGAGTGCTGGCCCATTTGTATAAAATTTAAAAAGATAGCTGATGGTCCTCTATGTCTTTTTAATGAGTTGAGAAGTGTGAAATTGAGATGTAGTAGGTTTGTTTACTACTCCGTATTTCATGATTTTTGCTTTAATACTTGTCCTTATAAAATACCTAAGTAATGAAATATGATCTCCAATACATGAAAATAGTTCAGAGACGGTAAATTCAAATTTACTAACATCTTTGCTATTTTAATAAATTATATAGCCACAACTCATCCAATTCATCAACAATGGTTTTGGTTTACAATTAAGAGTTTTGACAAAATTCATCAATTTGACTGTTAAAGGTAAATGAATTAAGTATGTTCACAATAAGTTGTTTATTGTTAGGAATAATCATTGTAATTAATGATAATTTATCAATTTTTAAAAATACAAATATATATATTTACACGTGTTTCTACACAGGAATTACCACAAAAATAACAACATAATTTCTAAAATATCAGAGTGAATCAACACTATTAAAAATTTAAAAAAAAGAATCCTGGGAAAAACAAGGGTAATATAATAATTCATACCACCGATATTCTAGGTGCCACTATTTCAAATATTTTATAATTGTCTTCCATTTAAAACGTAAAAAATAATTATAACAAGCAATAAAATGTAAAAGTCATGGGAAATCTTTACAAGTGCATTGACAGATATCAAATAAAATTAACCAACGAGATAAGAATTATACCACTGTCAACGAAGTTAATAAAATAGGGATGGTTCAGAACTGGAGAAACCATTATGGTACCTTTGTAATAATAAAATTAATAAAAAGTGTACCGGAACTGCTTAAACTGCCTTGGCTTACTGTCTTAGTGTCCTGGACTAATACATATAATATATAATTAAGAGAGAGCGAGAGGGAAAGCGACCATCCCTTTAAATTTATAGTATTTTCCGTCCTAAAACATGAAATAATATTCATTTACTCCATAACCGGGGATTTCAAGTCAAAAATTTGATTTTACGATTCAAAAAGTTCACTTTTTCCACTTATATAAGTGAAACATTGCGATCTAATGATAATGATGTTCTATATAAAATTAAAACTCAGAAATAGGAGTGGCAATAGAGAACCGTTTGACTTCAGACCCAAGTGATCTCAAACCTTCGTTGAATATCGGAGAGGCCATACAGTTAAAGGTTCTAGGTCAAGAGGAACGAGAAGATAAGAAGCTCGTAGTTTCTACGAATGCGATCACCGAGGGCATATCGCAGCAAATTGTCTCTCTGTCAAATACTTTGAATCTGGAGACAACGGTCATGTCTCTAGAGCTTGTCCCTGGATTTACAAGCGCAATCTAGCTCCAGAACCGATGAAAATAAACACCCACAGGACAAGACCTATGCACGCTTATAGTTCTGAAGAATAACCGAATAAGAGCTCTACAAAAGACACAAAGAAACAAAATACACAAATTTAAAAGGTCAGAGGTAGACCGGTAGGACAGAACACGAAAACATTTTGAAGAAAAACTTAATTTCTTATACCATGGGCCAGAGACAACCTCAGTCAATGACAGAAATCATTAATGACCGAATAAACGACCTCCTCCGTTTAGGGATTATATGTTAAGTCGACCCTTGTGGATTGTGTACAAAAAAAAAACCAACCAGCATAAAAAAAACAACTAATAAATCAGCAGGCGCCCCTCTTATCGTATTGCATTAAAACTGGCAAATAAATCACAAAATCACAAACAAATAAATTGGAGGATTGCACTCTTAAAAAAAAAACATTCAACTTTTTAATTGAATATAAATATTTAATAGGAATATTTTTTCTTACATTTTCTATTGGGTTGTCAGGAAAATAATGCAGGATTTTGAATTTTCTTTAAAATACCCCTCTATATAAAAAGCTGTCTACGTTTACTGGCCAGCGTGTGGTGGCCAAGTGTTATCAAGCAACTTCAGAAGTATGAAACTCCCAGTAACCTATATGACCTAGTGAGAAGCTTGAAAATTAGGAGCAGATTCTTTGAAGTATAAGACACCGTCGAGAGGGGCTGCCCGCTGGAATCTGTTCTGGGTTCCGCCTAGTGGAAGCTAGTCTTTGACGAGTTGCTGGAGAAGCTCGAAGAGGAGCGGTTCCCTGCCACGGCCTATGTTAACGATTTGGCCGCCTTGGTGGCCTTAAACACCATAGCCAATCTGAAAGCAGAAGCTGAACGATGTGCCAGTTTGGTAGGAAGATGGTGCGAGAGGAAGAAGTTGAAGATGGCTGCAACAAATACCCAGGCAATTCTCTTGAGGGGCACGACTGAACAGGGCACATCATATTATGTTGAGTATAGAAGAAGAAACGTTATGTCCAAGTGAGGTTGTCAGCTACCTTGGCATAAAAAATTGGTCGAAAGTTCAACGTGACTCCTCACCTGGACTATATGAGAACTAGAGTCACAGTGGCCCTAAATGGATTCAGTCGTGACGGAGGCGCCTTCTGGAGTCTCAGATACCCAGCTACAATGACTATAAACAAAGGAGTAGTTTTGGGTATTCTGAGACAGGCTTCATGGAACCTAAACCTCTCGCACCGACAGAAGAGTAGGCTAGCATCGATTCAGAAATTGGCTTTACTTTGGGTCACTAGAGCCTATATAACGGTATCTCACGAGACAGTGAAAGTACTGGCAGGGGGACACACCTCTCGATCTTCTCCTGCAAGAAGATTATTACCTCTTTAAAATGAAAAGAGAAGGTTCGGCGGATCTACCGGAACATCTAAAGATGAGAATTGAAGAAGACCCAATAAGATGGAAAAGAATTATCAGGGAGGACACAGTTGATGAACGGAACCGGTGATGGATAGCAAATTTGAAGGGGCTACCCTAAGAAAGTAACTCCCCACGGTCATGTCGCGATTAGATGCAAGATGGGTCCTCCCGGATTGCTGAGTGTCTCAACTCCTAACAGGACATGGGGGCTTTCGAGCGAAGCTCGTTAAACACGGGAAGAATATTAATCCGCTATGTCACAACTGCAACGTTCCGGAGAACGCCGAACATGAGGTCGTTGAATGCACTGCCTATGAGGCACTAAGAGCTAAGCTCCTGAGAGAGGATGGGGGTATATATGCTGACAGAGAGCACGTTCTCTCAGCTAATGAGCAGAGAGAATTGCCCACATTATAGGGAATTCGTATACGGGTGGAAAGATGTTGTCGGCCCTACACATTTTAATCTAGGAAGAAGAGAAGGAAGTTAAGACAAGCTGCAGCTGTTCGAGGACCGGTTTCAGGTGAAGGAAGGAGGCAGAATGGAGAAAAGGAAAGCATGGGCTCACAAACAAGTCTACAACTCATAAATAATAATGTTAAACAAAATTTTCATTAAATATACCTATACTGCCAGCAATGACATGCGCATACTGCGTAATACCCCACTGCTTCTACAACCCGTATTGCCGTAAGGCAAGGCAGGGAAAAAAAAGAAAAGAAAGTTTACTGGATTATTCATTTGTATGAATCTAACGCTTATTAATCCTCATCTAGACGATTATATTTGTTTACCTCTGTAGCATTTCGCTGCTTAGAAATAATTCAGTCTTAGATGTCAACGCATGATTTTCATATACATTTTTTTATGAGTTTAAACTCGGACAGAATGGGACGAATGATTGAACATTTAAGTCAAAACAATAACAATAAATGTCTTTCTAACAAATCAGCTAATCCTAGGAAGGCAGAATTTTATACTTTCGGCAAGTTCTATTAGAAGAATATAAGGGAACACTTGAGTTTCCTTTTCACTTTTGTAAAATTAAATTAGATCTTTGCTTGTCATAGATTTATTTTCCTCATATTTTTTATCTTGAATTATAAATTTAATTGGGGCAACATAGTAAAATAAAAACATAAATATTAAACCACTCATATACATTTATATTTATAAATAATCCAATTCAACACAAAAATAAATTGGATCAAATTTAACACAGAATTAGTTAAGTTAAATAATTGTTTTTCCCGTAGTTTGTGAAATGTCTAAATACACTTTAATGCAACAAAAATCAAAATCGTGCAGTTTAAGCCAAAAACGTGCAATATAAAATTTAATTAAGTAATTCTACAGATTCTGAAACGGATAGATATTCGGGTTTGGAGTTTTAACAGGCAAGCGAATAAAATGTGCAATAACGTGGAAATCTCTAACAGTGAGTTAATATACAGCAGTAATTGAAAATCAACAGTAAAATAGATTTTGTTAAAAGTGGTGCTTTGTCGTTACTTCAGAGTCATAAATGAGAATTTTAAAAATTTAACATTAATTTATGTGTGATAGGCATATTCATACCAAATTAGATGTTTCATCCGCAATATAGCGGTAACTTAAACATTTAGCCCTAAGACATTTGACTAATGACCCGATCCTTGAAACGCTTTCTTCATAGAAGGTTGACTTTCTCCCAGAAATTGGAAGCGATATTTGTGCTGAAAGTTATATCAATAAAGTAAAAAATCAAGAAAATGAATTTAAAAGTTCATCTCTCTAAAAATTGTGAATTTTTGTAAAATTAAGGGACATTATTCTCCTTAAGTAAAAATCATTTACCAATTACTGAAATATTTTCAGGTTAAAATATAAATAAATAAAATCTGTATGAATATAAACACTCACATAAAATAAAATTTATAAAATATTTATACTCATATATTTCTAATTTTGTGGATAATAAGACAACTTTCCAGGATAAATAAAATAAACATTGGGAAGTTAGGTATCCTCTAAAGAAGGTTATATTCTTTCAAAATATTTTGTTAAATGTATAACCTTTTCTGTGCATTTTTATGTAGTTTAATGTGATATATTTTCGTTAAGTCCTCAAACGGGCTAATTCCGTATCTATTAGTCTTGATTTTAAAATGTCTGGGACGAATAATACTCCTAGTATTGACACAAGAGCAGAACTGGCAGAATTGGTCAAAAGAAAGGCTGAAATTGCAGTAAGATATTTTTAAATAGCTAATTTTCAGATAAATAAGTTTCGATAGGTTGATGCTGTTTAATTAACTAATTTAACATTCAGTTATAACTTTTATCCTTTATATTAAGTGTTCTCTATGTTTAATATTGTTTAAGGAAACATTAGCAAACCTAGAACGACAGATTTATGCCTTTGAAGGCAGTTACTTGGAGGACACACAATTGTATGGCAATATTATTAGGGGCTGGGATCGGTATCTTACCAGCAATAAGTTAACCAATAGTAAAGCAGATAAGAGAAACCTTAAATTTAAAGAAGCTGAAAGATTGTTTTCTAAATCATCTATCACTTCAATGGCTGTAAGATTGTGTTTGTTTCAAACATTGGTGATATTTTTTATTATACTTCAATTATAATCCTTAAATATCTATTTTTACAGGCAGTAAGTGGTCTGGTTGATAACCAAGAAAAAGGTGAGATAAATAATAAATAAATGTTATTCTATTTTTGTATATAATAAAAAGATTTATTTTATACTTTAATTAGTAGTTGTTTTTTTAGTTCATTTTGTTGAATTTATTATTATGTGCTGATGAATAATTTTTCATTTTTGTATTATTTTATTTACAATTTTTTTTTCATATTTGGAAAATATGTATCATGTTATTTATATTTAAAAATGTAATGTATTTGTTTTCATTTATGTATTTAACTTTTTGGGCAATTAAAACACATATTGGAACCTGATTTAACTTATCTTTTTATAATGAAGTGTATAGTTTTTTTTTTCCTTTTAGTTGTTAATAATTTTTATGACAAAATAGTTTTAATTTTTTTATGCTTTACTTTTTTTGTTGTCATATTTATGTTCTTTTTTTTCTGCCTTGTATTCATTATATTGCATGATGATGCTCAGCTAATTTTATGTGACTTATTTGTTTGTATGAAGATAGTAAATCAATAAATTTATTTTTTTTTAGTGTGTTTTTTATTATTCTATTATTATGTTTTCATTTAATCACTTTCTAGCATACTAGATACAATTTATTAAGTATTATATTGTAATCTGTAGATTTTTTAAAATGAATATAAGTATGTTGTGCATTCTTATGTTGTTTATGATACATTTTGCGATTCAATTTAGTTAAAATTTTAAACTTTAGTACAAAGTGCACATCTAGTAGCCATTCTACTAATGAGATATTATTTTAATTAAACTAGATATATCAAGACATTGAAATAATGAGTTAAATACTGAAAAAAAGGATACCTTCTTTTTTGGATTTAACTTTTTATTATTTTGATTAATAGTTTGTAAAGTTTTTGTTCGGTTGTTTGTTGATTTTAAACAAATAAGGAAAACATTGATAAGTATTAGTTATACATTTCTATTTGTCATTAGACTATAAAATTAATTTATTTAAATTAGGTAGTTGATAGGTGATATAGTGGCTGATGGCTTTTCATTCTAAACGAATTCAAATCCAATCCGTGCTTAGTATTATGTTTCATTTTATTGATAACTTCATGTGTTCTAGAATTACTCTAGTAACTGGAGCATAGTTTTAGCCATACTGTTTTCCAAGAATACCACAAAATTGCGAACAAGGCATCTCAGCTTCTGAGGTTCTTCATTGATTGTTGTGGAACTAATTTATTTACTTTTAAACCATAAAAAATGTTCTTTAACAAGTGTAGGAGTAAAATGTGATATTTATATATTCTTTGACCAGGTAATAAAAATAAAAATGTTAAATAGACTAGGATTATTTGTAGTTGTATATCTCATATTTTATTGTGACCATTTTTGTTAGAAAAAAATAAATGGACTTTTTTAATCTAATATGCTACTTACAGGAAGAAATTAAAATATGTTTTGGCAAATGAAACTTTTTTTTTACATCTGAGTGGTTTTGTATCTTATATACTTTACATATAGAAACATGGAATTCAAATTTAGATCATTTCAATTTTCTTTAAAACCATCTTTCTTAAATTGGAAAAAAATAAAACATTGCTCCTTGGAATAATACTTTGATTATGTGGGAGAATTAATAATTACCTGTGATTTTAGAGTAATCCATTGTGGAATGAGTTTCGTTAATTAAAACATGCATATTGTCTAGAAAAAATGCATTGGATTGGAAAGGACAATAGTAGTTAAGCCCTTACACCTGTCCCGATTGGAGTAGATAGTCATGGATCAATCTTAATATGTGCAATTAGTTCCAATTGTTCATTACACTTACAGTATATTCTAGTATTAGCTGTCTTTCAGTTTTAAATTGTATTTTTCAAGCCTTGAATTTATTCGATAGTATTACCTGTGCCATTTCTTTGTTTATTATAATAGTACCATTAACTAAATTTGTTTTCTAGGCTTCTTATACATCAAGTCATTTTCTCTCAATAATTTATTTATAACTTCTTCTTGAAAGAAGTTAGTCAACTGTTCTATATCTCATGGGTGATAAATAATCAGGACGCAGTCTTTTTTAAAATTTTTTGTTTATGCCAACGTTTAGACCCAAACATGTGGGTCATCTTCAGGGCATGGTTTGAGCACTGAAGATGACCCACATGTTTAGGCTGAAACGTTGGCATAAACAAAAAATTAAAAAAAGACTGCGTCCTGATTATATATCACCCATAACTTCTTTTTCTTGTCAGGTGAACACAAGTTCTCTAGTCTAAACCTTATGTTTACTATCAAGACTGGATAGCCACTAGAATTGATGTACATACAATTGAGGATGAAAGTACTGAAAACACTTATCCATCCATGTAAGAGAATGAAATGAATGCTAGTACTGTTGAATAAGTTAAATTTATGTAAAACAAATACTAGGATCTAAAACAATGATATTGAAATTTTCCTTAATTTAATTTTGGAGTTCAAACTGTTCTCCGTTAAAAAGAGTATGTGATAAAGTTAGTATAAGCCCATCTGATGATGATTAAATACCTCGGATAATTATTTTCAGAGACTGTAACTATACTCACCTGCTACATAATAGTAGCAGATATAGGATTTAATTTTGGGGAAGGGTTTTTTTTTACCCTTCATAACAGTTATTACCTTGGAAGAAGAATAAAACTACCTATATAAAATGATGGTGTAGTGGTCCTCGATTTATACTTGTTTAGAATTTTTAATGAAAGAAACAAGTAATAATTGGATGAGGCAAGGTCTGGGGAATACAGAGTATGAGATAAAAAGTCCCGATCAAACTGAAGAATTTCTATCTTAAGGCAAACGCAACATGTGGAATTGGCAGTAACTTTCCTTAAAAAATTCTTTCCGAGATGAATGGTAAAAATTCGAAAGCAAAATAAAAATCCATCTCAATGAGTATTTTGCAAGTAAGTCTCAACAGATTTGAAAAAAGGGTTATAACAGGCTTCTTGAGAGATGGAAAAAGGTAATAGAGTAGAACGGTTCATATATAACATAGTAAATCAACCTTAAACAACAAATAAAGGAAAGGTAAAGAACTTATGAGACAACCTAATATATCCAATCACACATATGTATGCATTCTTATTGTTAGAACAAATCTCAACACCAGTCAGGGTTTTGCATTTATGCCTCCTCTGATTAATTTGGTATTTTTTAAGATAAATTAAAAAAATGTTTATAGGCTCTCTAAAATCCTATTGTTAACCACGTATTTTTTCTTTAAGTAGATACATGAATATATTGATCAAATGTTAAAGAATTATCCTTTTATTATTTTCTTACAGATTTTCTCAGATAGCTATTTTATAATCTTTTTTTTTTCTTTTTTCGAAATGAAACCTGTGTTAAAAACATATCAATTACATATGAGATATGATATTATGTCATGACAAATAGTTATGGAGAAACTACCCATTGGTAGAACTCCAATATAATCATAAATCTTAAATTGTAATAAAAATGGACTTAATAAGATTTATGATCTCTACATTACCCACCATACTCCTTAAAGTGAAAAGCAATCATTTTCTTCTTATCTCTTTCCTTTTTCAAATTGGCATGAGATCATCCTCAAAACCTGAAGTCCAGTACTGTTAATTTTAAATAATCTATCCCCTAATATAAAATATGATTGAAATTAAATAACTTAACTTGCGGCTTTTACGGGTATCTCAGGTTTCCTGCTTTGAAGGTTTTCTAAAATCAAAACATTACTTAATCCTTTAGACTTTTTATTATTTTTTCATAACTTTTATATCATTTTTAAATGCATTCAATTTTTCACATCATTTCACTCATGCCTTTTAAGTGAAATATTTCATGAGTTAGTAGGGAAAGAAAAAAGGATTGTTCATTGAGGAAAAATAAAGATTTAACTTCCAGAGGTACTAATTTCACTAATGAGTAGTTTCATATTAATCACTAAGGTCATATTTTCTCTCATTTTTGTTTGTAAAACAGATGGAAATTAGTTTAATAAATTCTTATTTGAGAAAATATAAAATTTTAAATTAATGAACTGCTTTATTTCTTTAGATTGTTTTTGAATATTTTATAATTTGTTTCCGAAATCAAATAGTAATTTCAATACAGCTAAGTTATTATTTTCAAGGAAAAATACAACTTATAAATAACTATTTTTTTTTTTTTCAAAATCGACAAGTGAAATAATTAAATATATATTTATAAAATAAGCTAAACAAATATAATACAAAAAAATAATATACTAAAAGGCAATTGAAAAAATAATTAATTTTGTAACTATATTACAAAATATAACATGTATTTTATTATTATTAATTTAATATATCTTTTTTAATTTTTTTTTCTGTTGGTATTACAGATCTTGTAGATCTTTTGCCGTCTTAATCAGTCTTCTCTATCTCTGCTTATCTTGAGCTATTTCTTTCCAGTTATCTGCATTCAGCTCTATTGTAATTTTTATCTCAATTTTATGAGGTATAATCAACTATGTTGATTCTATCTATCCATCTGCTTTTTGGCCTTCCAAGTGGTCTTTTGCCTTCTATTGAGGCATTCATTGTTGTGTAAAGGCTTCCAAATGGATTGCTACATGCTTTAATTTTAAAAAAGATTAAACAAATTTAACTTAAATAATATAGTGAAATATTAATGTTGATATTAATTGTCACATTTTTATTATTTGTGCGAGTGTCAGAGCATAAATTAAATCAATATTTTTTTTCTCTTCAATCGCTAAATCAAGATAAATAGAATATTGAAAATAATTTTAATTGGCATTTTCTGTTCTAGGAGAGATAAATAGTGAAAGCGAATCACAAACAGGAAACAGCGGAAGCGAAGAAAATCTTACATTAAAAGAATCTGGTAAGAATCATTCTTCCCACAATGGCAACAGTTTTGGATCTCATAACGGCAATATAGAAAGGCCACTTTCACCCAATAAAGATCAGAAAAGTAATCGCTCAACTACTTTTAAGAAAAATCTCAGCAAAAAAATAAAACATCGATAGCCAGACCTTCATGTCATCTTATCAATGATAAGATCAAAGCGCAGGAAGTTATTTAAGTATTATTAAATTATTTCTACAGATTTCAAAAGATAAAGTAAAATTGTTGAAGCACAGGTCAAATAAGAAAAAAAAAGACTTTAACTTATAATTTTGTAATTTGTACCCTACAATTATTCAGCAATATTAACAAGAGCATAAAATACCAAAAAGAAGTAAATTGAATTTGTGCTGTGAAAAGAAATATGTTAAAATATTTTTAATAATGAATTTCTTTTTAATTTATAGGTTTAAAAGCTTGTTTAAATGGAATTATCATTTCTTGTTATATAAGAATTCAAAATGGAAATAAATTAAATGAGAATAATATTTTAAAAAGGGATTTTATTATTAAAATAATTAGTCTAATAATGAAAAAATATAAGCTGTAATCTTCGATCATATAGATGGTCTTAATACAAAATTGTGGTGGTCTTAGTGCAAATTGTATAAAATGAATACTATGTATTCGTTCACCCTAAGGCATAACTTAAAAACATGATGTTTTTGAAAAGTAGATTATGAACTTAATGAAGCTAAACTTGATTTTTACTGATAATTATTTTTATGGGAGTTAAAAATATGGATGTTGAGATCATTCGATCTCCAGAATGTATACTGACTGATTAATAAGTAAGAAAATTTCTTGTGAAAATTGAAGACAGTTTGTGATTTCGCATGATTTATAACATGTAGTAGATAAATGTTTCTATTAATTTTTTCTCTCTGTTGGATAAATCTTTCTATAACAATATTCATTTATGAAAAATGACATCATTTTGTTGTGATTGTACTTAAAATACTGTAGTAATATGACTCATTACTTTTTTATGTTTTTCAAATAATACTTTCAATAAATTTGTTTTATCTCTTTTCAGTTTTTATGATTAAATCTTATGGGTTTAACCATTAGCAAATTGGTTTCCTCCAACAATTTCTAACACAGAATATGAAATAATTTACAAACATATATTCTCTCAATTAAAATTAACATAAAATCATCTGTTTTGAAGTAAAAGAGTTACTTAGACATGTAATGTGATCTGGAAGACTAATCAGGCACTTATGATACCTTTGATTTGATATCAAGAACTTTAGAGCTTCTAACAGGATTTCCAGTTCATGAATTAGTTTAGTTCTGAATTTTACTGATCTGAAGATTGCCTTGTCAAGCAATTAAGGCAAGGAATTAAGGAAGGAGCATTGAGATGAAGTTAAAATGAGGTTCATAGGCCAATCATTCACAAAACTCGGGATGAATTACACCACAAGCTCACCATGATAAAAATATCATATTTATTATTCACCTGAGTGTCGACACTTCTATACAGTGGACTGCTCCTCCTTAAATTTGGAACAGGTCCCAGAGCTCTGTAGATAAAATGGCAGCTTGAGTGTAATGTTTTCAAAGAAATTAAACAAAAAAACCTTAATGATCAACCAATCTCCTTCTACTCCTCTGTAAAAATTTAGGATTTTTCATTGATAAAACCCTCTCCTGGAATCACCATATTTCTCACATCTCGCGAGAGACAATTTCTACCCTCAAACTATTCCATCGCTTCCGTCATCTCCTACCTCAACATATGCGTAGACTCCTGGTTACCTCTCTCATCTTCTCCCATTTTGACTACAGCTGTGTGGTGTATGATGGATTCTCGGTAGAGCTCCGTAACAGACTGAAAAAACTAATGAACAGTTGCGTAAGATTTGTAATTGGTGCCCTGAGATACTCTCATGTCTCTCACCACTACATTGAGATAAAGTGGCTGTTCCCCTCCATTCAAATACAATATTTCCTAGGCACGTTCCTCTATCAAATCATCAACAATCATCGTCTTTCTTACGCCTACAACCTTCTCCAATTCAAGTCCTCAGTCCATTGCCTTTCCACAAGATCTCGACTGCGATCTTTATATCCCTTCTCACAAATCTGCCTCATTCCAAAACTCCTTCATTGCTCGCTCTGTTAATTTCTGGAATTACCTTCCTATCAAAATTCGACATTTTCCCCTCCCTATCTACATTTAAAACTCTCCTATTCCAATTCCTGTCCCCAAAACAGTCAGATACCCACTAACCTTTTATGTAAAATTACATATTATTCATAATGATTTACATAATGATGTATTGAAATATCATTCATCACTTAAATACTCTGACACACAGAGTTTATTTCTAAGAAGAATGTAATTTATTTTTTTTCTAAAATTGTATATTTATATTTTACCACTGTACTTAGTTTGTTTGTTTATTTAGGCATAAAACCCTAAGGTCATCAATGCCTGTGAGTCGGTTAACTGTGCTTAGTTTGAAGTGCCTTAGGATAGTTTCAAGTGTTTTGTATATAGATTTTTTAAAAATTTTGTATATAGTATGTTTTTAACTAATGGTTTCTTTACTTATTTCTCTTTCTTTTTGTGTTTGTTTTTATTTAGGCTAAATATAATATTTTAATTTTCAAAAAAGAAGTCTTTTTCAAAGTTTTCATTTTCATTTTAAATAGAGGAATAATTATTTTTTCAACAATTAGTGTATTTTACTGTTAAAAGACAAGCAACATTTCGTCCACAAAAAAATCAAATTTTAATTTGAGTTTAATTTTTTATTTTATTTTAATAAATCTTTGTATCAAGTACTCCTTACTAAAGCACCTAGATTTTATTTATTTCATGTTTGCCTGAAAGATCAACTTTGCGATTATTTTGCAGCATCTTAAGTTTAATTTGTTACCAGAGCTGATTTGATATTGATCAATATGCAGATTGACAACAGGTAAAAACAAAATTATTTTCACATGTATCTTTTGTAAATAAAAAAGGTAATATAATAGCCAGAAAATTAAATTTGACTAATGACTCCCTCTATAAAGGAAATGAGGTCATTCTTTAACAGATTTTCTACTTTATCCCTCCTTCCCTCGACCTGTTAAAATTGTTTTAAAATAAATGACAATATATTTAATAATTAACTTCATAATAAATGCTATGGGTCTGCTTTATACCTAAGGTTATCCTCAAGGTGGATGCTTACCACCCACTTACATTCTTATATCTCAACTCAACCTTTGATCATATAAAAAAATGAATAAGACAGCTTGTCACAAATTTAGTTTTCAACAAGTTTAATAATCTTTAACGACATTAGAAGTATAGAAAAAGAGAAAAAGTGGACTCTCACTGATCCCAACTAATTAAATCCAAGATTATTCGTTTAGCGAAAAATTCGGACTATTGAAAGGGAAAAAAATGTCATTTTATACATAACCATTTAATTTAATAACAAAAATTATAGATGTATCTACATAAAAATGTTTATGCAATAATTAATCATTGTTCAGAAATTTATTTTTTAACTATTTTCTTCTGAAATAGAATGAAATTTTCGTTTGTTTGAAAATTGAAATAATTTTCTTCAAGGTCTCTGGCTGCATCTTTAATAACTTGAAATGCCAACAGAAGATATGAGCTTTGTTTAGTTAACATTTAGAACAGACAGGTAATTAGCAGGAAAAAAGTTCTGGACAACTATAAAGGAAACATAACAATAAAGTATATTATAAAAAAAATAATATATTCCAAATCTTGGAAAGATATTTTTTTTAAAGTAAATCTCAAACAAAATAAGTGAACCATAAAAGTAGATTTATACACTAAATTATAATGGTACGTTTATCACCAATTTTCAAATGAATTGATTGATAAGACAAACTAAAATAAAATATATTTTATTATATCACAGTCATATTAATCACAAAAAGTATCTTTCAAATTTTAAATCACAAATTCTGCTAACTTACTACAGAAAATATACATACAAACAACAAATTACTCTAAATATACATTTATATCATAATTAATTAACATTTTTCTGTAATTTTACATGTTCCTAAAGTTTTTTTTTTAAAACATTTTTCATCACTATTTTATTTACAAATCAAGTGAACTCATTTTTTATAAAAACATAAATTTTATGAGGGGAACTTAAATTGGGAAAGAGGATAATCTTATTTCAGAAAGATTTGGTCCCCCTTGTGATACCCAATTTGGCTATTAGCCAGAAAACATAGTTCATTGTTGACATGCTAAAATGCTGTGAGATTCTTTTTATTCAGTTATATATAATTCATTAGTTATAATAGCTTCTTTAGCAGAAAATATCAATCTACTTGATCAATAATCCAATGAAAGGTACATTATTGATAGCTCTTCTTGGACAAGCTAACTGAAGGACAGCTGCAAGGGAGAGAAACCAATGGGTGAGACTCATTGAAGAGGCCAAGACTCAGTGATGAGTTGTAGCGCCCATGAAGAAGAAGATAAGAAGAAAAAGAAAAGTAAGAAGATATAATTGATAAGTTAAGATAGAGCATATATAGTTACACGAGAAATGCCTATTGTGTATACTTCAGAATAAGGCTGAGCAATAAAGACAAAAGATGGATAACACAAACGGATGCTGTAGATGTTTTGAGGGACTGGGCTTGTGGGAAAATGGTGTGAAAAAAAAAACAATGGACTCTATGGGTTTGGAGGTAGCCACAAAATCATGTTAAAAACATATACAGAATCATATTAATGAAATTCTGTAGCATGTCTTGTTAAAGAAGACTTTCTGTTCTTTTTGTTGTGGTTTGTTATTATAGAATTCAAGTTAGTGGATACTTTTAAATGAAAGTATCAAAAATGGACTTCTACAACAATGTTTCAAGTTCTAAAATGTTTGATAAAATAAAATGATATCTGGAATGATATCATGCGGAGACCACGGGGCCTAGAAGAACATATCCAATGACTACGTCAGGAAAGAGAGAAAATCCTAGATCAATTGAAAAAAATGGCAAGAGGTCGAGATGTATCGACTAAGTGACTACCTCACTGATAGGCACAAAAAGAGGAATATAGAGAAGAAATTTGTTCTTTCACCAATCTTTTTGTTAATATTGGATTCAATAATAATCCTTCAATTTTAAATTGTTATCCTTAAAAGAGCAATGTTATCCTGTCTAGAAAAGTTCATAATCAAGAAGTAGATCTTGCTTGAGATCTACTTCTTGATTATTTACTCTTATATTCCTCTTTTTGTGCCTATCAGTGAGGTAGTCACTTAGTCGATACATCTCGACCTCTTGCCAATTTTTTCAATTGATCTAGGATTTTCTCTCTTTCCTGACGTAGTCATTGGATATGTTCTTCTAGGCCCCCATGGTCTCCTGCCAGTTGGCCTCGCTTCCATACATTTTCTTGGTACTCTGACTTCTCCCATTCTACAGATGTATCCAAATCATCGAAATTGTCGGCATTCCATATTTGATTTCAGTGATGGTATCAAAAGTTCTTCCTGATTCTCTCATTTCTTATTCTATCTCTCCTGGTTTGTCTGCATCTATTCATTTCCGCAGCCATAATCCTGCTCAAATACTTGTCTTGGGTGACTCAGCTGTCACTACCATATAACAAGATAGGGAGATAAACTGCTGTATAGATGTGGATTTTGATATTCTTTCCTATCTCTCTCTTTCCCACAATCGTGTTGTAAATCTGGTAATATATACTGTTTGCTTTCTTTATTCTGTTGCACACTTCTTGGCCTATTTTCCCAGATTTGATAAAAATTGTTCAAAAATTGGTATATTAGTCCATGTTTTCCAGCTCTTCTCCATTGCATGTCATTCTTATATCCCTCACATCCCCCTCATCTCTTATTACAGTCATAATCTTGCTTTTATGGCAGTTGATTCTCATTTACCATTTATGAGCAAGTTTTTTCTGTCATTCTATAATAGTCTGTTGCAGTTTGTTTTAAGAGTCAGTCACCAGAACGATATCGTCTGATTAAAGGAATACCTAAACTCAACAAATTTAACATTCTTTAAGAATTAGTGTACAGTTTTTCATACATTCTTAAAAATAAAATAGTCTTATGCACAAGAACTTATGTAACAATCTAGTGATTCTAAATAGCAGGTTCAAAAAAATCACTTCATATGAACATGTAAAATACAGCTGATTTCATTTTAAAGGTAAACTATTAATTTTCTTATTCATTATCTGAGCCGAAACATATAATAAAAATTTAAAAAGAATTATTTTGTCGTAAAAACATTTTATGTATATTAAAATTTACTGCTCTATCCTCTAATACATTTAGAGGTTACAAAGAGTCAGAAAAAAGTTAAGCAAATGATACATAACCGAACATTAAAGAAAAAATATATACATAAATATAAAATATAAATTGATAACATTATTCATATCTCACTAAGGATTAATCAATTTTAAACTTGTGAATATTAATAAATTACAGTTCAGTAAGAAATATAATTATTACATTAATTCCTCAAGAGATCTATGTAATTATACAGTACATAGATTCACATCTATGTAATTATACAGTAGTTTTCCTAATAAGATTTAAGTCTAAAATATATATATATATATATATATTTTTTTTTAACATACCATTTTTTTTAATATTCATATTATCACATTCACAAACTGCATATAACAAACAAACTGGATTCAATGTATTAATTAACTATTAAAATTAATTATTCATTAAAATGACCAAGCAATTATACTAAATTTTATGTTTATAGAATTAATTAAGTAACTTTTGTATTAAATGCAAATTTCATCAACAGCAATTAGATTTAACAGGTAACTTATTTCGTTATAAACAGTTTTAACGACTTATAGGTAAAATATCTCAAACAAATTTATAGGCGCAGTGGTGAATCACAATCCTATCATGCTTCATTTGTTATTCAGCTATTAATAGATGAGGAAGTAGATGGCCGCTGAGTAAATTTCTGTTTCCATCTTTTTTCTGTACAAAATTATTAAAATAAATATTTTTTTATACTATTATACACTTCAACATAATTACTCAAAAACATACTAAAAAAAACAAATATCACAACATGTTTCAGAGACCACTATGTTCCAGAATTGTAGCCAGCCAGTATGATACAATGCTTAAACCCAGTGGTGTTAATCATTAAAAACTTACAGCATTTGCTAAACCCACAGAAAAGTTTATATATCTCTCTTTTTTTTTTTACAAAATTTAGAAATCAACTTTGTAAAACATATGGCACAAACTGAACTGATAAGATTTAGATGTAGAACTGGCTGTCTGTTTTTAAAGCGATTCTTAATGGTTTTCATCCTAACTATGTCCTATCGTTCTCGCACAGTCATTTAAATTAAATTTGCCTCTTGTCCTACCTTTAATTCCAAAATTTGTTTTACACCTTATGAATTAATTGTTTTTTGGGCTCAATTAGCAGGGAAACACGCCCAAAAGACAAGGGTGGTTGAACATGAATTGAAAATATATTGCTAATTGCATTAAACAAATTCTAATGTATAATAAATCACAAAAACCCAAAGACGTTCTAGTAAAATAGGCCAAATAAATTTTTGTTATTAAAAACAGATTCAGATTCGTTTTCAGTGTTCACTTCAACTCTTAAATACGAGTTTGCATAGTAATAAAAAAATATACTTTTTTCGACTCAATTATATGGGAGGATTTTTTTCATGCCATTCATTAAAATATTTATATATATATATATATATATATATATATTTTATATTTTTATAATACATACAAAATGTAACAAACCAGACGGTCGCCAATAAATTAGACTTGGAGATAAAAAATAAAAACGTTTGGGAAATTTTTATTTATTTATTTCTTATAAAGCCATAAAATCTATAAGTTATTGATATGGTTTTCAAGAGCAATAATTGAGGTTTCCAATGGTTGTAGTAACGTTGACTTAAGAAAAAATCCTGAGGTCACTGAAAACAAATCTCAATCTATTTTTCATGACAAAAATTTATTTGGCCTACTTTACAAGGAGTGTGTTTGGGTTTTTGTAATTTATTATACATTAGAATCCGTTTAATACAATTAACAATATTTTTTTTTACTACACAAAAAAAAACAAATCGATTGATATATAATAAATTAGAAATCTATGCAGAATAAAATCTTTTATTTCTGTATTGGCTAGAATCCTCAGACAAGGATCTTATATTTTTGACACAGTATCACCAAAAATTTTCATTGAAATTGGTGAATCCACGTCCGTAACCTCCCATTTTAGTTTTAACATTTTTTTTTCACCATTTATTTTAGATGTTGAAACAGCTTAAGATAAGTTACTAAATAGAATTAATAGATTTACAGAATGACACGGATTTAAGAAATAAATTTCAAAATGATGACATACATATTTTCTGTTAAAAATTAAAGGTGATTTTAAAAAAATTGCAACTTGTGTGAACATAACCAAATCAAAAGTAATGATACATTTTGAAAGCTCCTATATTTCCAAATAATTATTTTCCTTCAATAAAATAATTAAAAAAAAAAGTCTATAAATAATTAAATTAAAAATAAATAATTAAAAAAAAAAAAAGAAAAGCTGCTAAATTAAAAGCTCTAAATAATCCTAGCGAAGATAATCTGGAATACTTCCGAATCTCAAAGAACGAAACGACAAAATTGCTCAAAAATAAAAAAAGGGAGTATCTTAAAAATAAAATAATTGAAATAGAAACTAATAGAATCCAAAATAACGTAAGAGACATGTACAAAGGTATAAACAGATCACGTAAATATGTAGGGCCCGTAACGGCTGGAATTAGGGATGATAATAACAATATTCTGACCAATCCGGTTGACATATTGAATAAGTTTAAGGACCACTTTGACAATATTTTAAATACGGGAAATTATGATCTGTGTCCTCCTTCTGAGTACCAGAGTGCTGAACCGTTAATAGAAGGACCAAGTAAAGAGGAAGTTGAAGTAGCTATCGGAAAATTAAAATCATATAAAGCAGCGGGAATCGATAATATTCCTACTGAACTAATTAAGGCATGCGGGGAAGCTGGAGTTTCTAAAATACATCGGTTGGTTAAAAAGATCTGGGTGAGAGAAATTACCTGAAGAATGGAAAGAATCTATTCTTATTCCGATTCACAAAAAGGGTCCGAGGACGGATTGTAATAACTATCGAGGAATTTCACTCCTTCCGGTATGTTATAAAATATTCACTTTAATCTTAACCAGTCGAATCACGGAATACGCCAAGGTAATTATGGGAGACTACGAATGCGGATTTAGACGGAATCGTTCGACTATTGATCAAATATTTTCTTTACGGCAAATATTAGAGAAAAAATTGGAGTATAATGGTATTGTTCACCAGCTGTATATAGATTTTAAAAAGGCTTATGATTCTATTGACCGCCAGAAACTGTATAATATTTTAATCGAGCAGGGGATTCCAAAAAAACTAGTAAATCTAGTCAGGATGTGCTTGACGGAGACACTCAATAAAGTTAGAATCGGTAATAATTTGTCCGAAAAATTTGAGGTTCGTTCGGGCTTAAAACAGGGGGATTCTCTTTCGCCTGTCCTGTTCAATTTGGCATTAGAACATGCCATTAGGGAGGTAATGCAAACCGAGAAAGGGTTGGATCTGGGCGGGACAACATCCGTGCTGGGCTATGCTGATGATCTGGTACTGTTAAGCAAAGACGTTGAAACTATAAAACTAAATACGACAACGTTAATGAAAGCCGGTAAAGAACTAGGACTCGAAATAAAGGTGGATATATGGTTAGCTGCAAAAATGGCGATACTACTGGTGATATCGATATAGATGGTAATATGTTTGAACAGGTAGATAAATTTAGGTATCTAGGTTCTACGATAACTAGAAAAAACGAAATTGAAGAAGAGATTAAAGTTAGACTGAAGGCGGAGAATGCTTGTTATTTTTCTGTGACAAAACTACTTAGTTCGCGCCTCTTGTCCCGAAACTTAAAAATTAGAATCTATAAAACAATTATCTTGCCTACAGTTCTTTATGGATGCGAAACTTGGCCGCTTACATTAAGGGATGAGCAGCGTCTTAAGGTTTTTTAAAATAAAGTATTGCGTAGAATATTCGGACCGAAGAAGGATGAGTTAACCGGAGAGTTCAGACGGTTACACAACGCCGAATTGCGTGAGCTGTATCCGGGTAATATAATTGAGGTAATTTCATCGCGGCGAATCAAATGGGCTTGTAAAGTTATTGGGCTTAGTAACCAGAGAATTCCTAAAAGGTTAATATTTGCTGTGTCGAATGGTAAGCGTCCGAGGGGTAGACCGAAGCGAAGGTGGGAAGATTGCATTAAAACCAATCTGAAGGGACTGGGTTTGGACGGCGAACGGTGGAGGGAGGTGTGTAACAAGCGATTGGTGGTGTCGGCATCGAACCTTCGGGTTCGCTAAGCCTTATTATTATTATAAAATAATTAAAAAGTATCTTTTTATATTTTAAACATATATATTGATAATATAATTTTATTAATACTATATTATATTACTGATATATTGTCAAATTTTTCATAAGTTTCATATTAAATATTAGTTTATAAATATAGACAGCGTTTAGTTCCTCTAATGAGGTAGCTGCCAACCACTCTTGTCTTTTGGAAGTGTTTCCCTACATATTTAAAAAAAAAAAAAATTAGCAAACAATTAGGTGTAAAACACATTAGCATTAAAGGTAGGACAAGGAGCGAAGTATAATTTAAATGGCTGTGCGAGAACTAGAGCACGTAGTTAGGATGAAAGCCACTAGAGATGGCAGGAAAAACAGAAAACCGGTTCTACCTAAAGACACTCCACCGGTTGTCACCATCTCCATCCTTGTAGCAGGTATGGAGAAAACAGGGTAAGTTTAAATATCCAATCAATTTCAAGTTTGGCAACCTTCTCCAACTCTTTAGTATATTTAAATTTAACATTTTTTTTTTTAATGAAAAGAACATATTAAATAGATTTAATTTATTTCCGATTTCAAAAAATTTTCCAACCTCTTTTACCAATTATTACCTACTTTTGAAAAATCTTTAAATTCCTATGCTCTTAATGATTTAACTTCAAAACAAACTGCATCATGTAAGAGGCCATTTTTGTAATTGAAATATTTGAGCTACTAGCACTCACAAAGGTAAAATTGGCCATTAACATCTCATCATATGCAAATATACTATATCAAATATCTAGGTTACTACTCTTATTTTCAAAAATTGTTTTCCAACCCAGGAATTTTTGAGTTTTATAAATGGGATATTGTCTACTAGTAAATCTCCTGAAATAATTTTTGTATATATTGTTTTCAGATGAACATTCACAGTATGTAATAAAATAAAATTTTATTCCTGAAGAAGGCTGAAGAGGCAAACATTTGGATAAATTAAAATAAATTATTGTAATTATTGAGACTAAAAAGGCTTTTTTTCTACTTTAAAATTGACTGAAAATACACGAAATCTAATTAATAGCTGTGTCATGCCAGTAACATTCGGAATTGACCAAACAATATAGTATAACTTAAATTTTTGAATAAAACCTAAAATTTTATAACCACATAAAAATATTGTATTAACCTAACTCCCACATTTCACAGCCATCATATTGTTAACAATTACTTATATTAATTTTAATTATTAAACGAAATTCAATGAAATTGATACTAGGTAATTTCTATACTATTTTCCAAATTTCTTTCAAGTTTGGGTGAAATCGAATGAGCCGTTTTCAAACTATAGGTGTTTGAAGTATTTTTATTTTTATTTTTTTTTTAAGTAGTTTATACAATTTGATAAAATTCATACATACTTAATTATCTGTTTATCAATCCCCAACTTCCCTCAAAATTTGAACAAAATCGAATGTGCAGTTTTGGAAATATAGACATATCGAAAAAAATATCGCATGTCAAGAAAGGGAAATATCTTATCTCCAATTAAGGAAAAAGAGTGGGAAAACCACTATAAAACTCTTCTAAGTGAGGATAAACTCCAGTTTATGCATGAGAGAGAAAACTCTGTGTCTGAAGCAGTTGAACAACTGGTTGAGGTGGAGGAGAAGGATGTGCAGCGCTAGCAAAAGCAAAAACTAGCACATCTCTGGAACCAGGGGAGCTGCTATGGAACTCCTGAAAGCAGCCAGTGCAAAACTAGTAGCCCTTCTGACAGAGGTGATTAACCTCGTTCTAAAGGGAGAGGATATGTCAGATGACCTGAGAGCTGGGTATATATTGTCAATATACAAGAAGGGTGATCGAAAAATATGCAGGAACTATAGAGGAATCTGCGTGCAAAGTTACGTGACAAAGATTATTGGAAGGCTGCTCAGGGATAAGTTGGAGCAGGCATACATCACCTCGTGGGAGCAAACAGGTTTTACAGCTGGCTGATCATGTACAGACAACATATTTGTTCTTGGCCAACCCATAGAGAAATCTCAAAAAAGCAGGAACAACATATGGCTTTTATAGACCTCGAGCAGGCTTATGATAATGTTCCAAGAGAGAGATAGTGGGTAGCACTTGAAAAAACCGGCATTAGTGGTTCATTGATAAGGGCTAAGAGGCACTTATATGGCAACGACATGTACCATATAAAATGCGGAAACCATCTTTCTGAGCCTTTTAATGGTACCAAAGGGTTGAAGCAAGGATGCAGTATGTCACCAACAATCTTTAACATATACTTGCACGAGGCAGTAAAGCCATGGTACGAGCAATGCGGTGACATTAGACCATTTATTGATGACTAGCAATTGCTGTCCTTGTTTTTCGCTGACAACCAGGTTGTGTTTGCACAAAGGAAGGGTTATCTTGAAGTAATGGTGTTTCAGTTGAAGACCATTTACAAAACGGCTGGATTAAAGATCAACTTCAAGAAGACCGAATACATGGCTATAGGCGATACGGATACTGGAACACTTCTAGTGAACAAGGAGTCTTGCAAAAAGGTTAATATTTTCAAGTACCTGGGCTCTTATCTCGACGCTACAGGGTCTTCTGAGCATGACATCAGAAAGAAGGTGGATCAATCCCACAAGGCTACCCGAATCCTACATTCAGTGCTCTGGAACACACAACTTTCCAGCGAGAACAAGCGTAGAATATTTACAGCAATAGTGGAAGCTATTCTTACATATGCCTCAGAAACATGGACCATGAACTCTCGTTTGTACTCAAAGGTGCAGGCAGTCGAGATGGATTACTGGAGAAGCTGTCTCCGTCTTACTAGACTGGATAAAATTAAGAATGAGGTACTTTGACAAAGAATGGATGTGGGTAGAGCGGTTAGTGAGAGGATTGGGGCACGCTGCCTAAGATAGGCATGTGAGAAGAATGACGGAGGAACGTTGGCCGAGCTAAGTTCTGGATTGGGTTCCGCCAGGGAAGAGAGGACGTGGACAGCCCAGAAGCAGGTGGATGGAGAGGGTCCAGGAGGAAATGGCAGGTTGAGGTCTGGAGAAAGATGATTGGCGAATTAGAAGCGCGTGGAGCTCTGCGCTGACTTTGTGAGGCAACCCTTAGATGGAACAACTATAAAGTAAAAAGTAAGTAAGAAAATACATTCGTGAGCACAAGCGGAAATACAGGATGGAATTTGATAAAATTGTATTGGGATCATCTAGACACCAACCCACAAGATCCCTGAAAATTTCATGTCGGATAAACTCTAGTAGGTGATATGGCCTTTACATCGATTTGACTACACAGACACCGAACTAAATTTGATCAATGATGTCTGAAATATAAAATGTGAGTGGAAATTTTCGATTCTGAGCACAAACTTTTGTTTAACCTCTCATATGAATACAATGCTTTCCTACCATTGGTAATGAGGAAGCAAAAGAAAAATATAAAAAAACAAATATGAAAGTAAAAGGAAAAGATAAAAATAGAAACATGAAAGTAAAAATAAACTAAGTTATTTAAATTATTAAGTCTTTTAAGTTATTCTTTTATAGTTATTACAGCAAATGAAAGATCATGGAAAAACAATAAAGAAAAATGAAGGAATTGATAAGAAATACTTGGTTCATTGTTAATAGAAAGCCAAATAATTAGTGTTGAATTTTTTTCTTAGTCAAAAGCCATCTAGCATGGACTAAGAAAACATTTAAGTACAGGTGTCTTTTAGATTATTTCCATTATTGTATTTTTTAGACCCTAAAGAACGTCTAAAATTTAGTTCAAAATGTGGGCCCATATAAGTAAAAACAGTTTATTACATTTATGTGTTTTCTTTTTGACTTAACCTCTACTAAAATCACCTTGATTTCATCTAGGGTCGTGATGGCCAAATGCGTTCAACCATAAACTTCAACATTCTCAAGTCTAGCAACGCCAGTTTGAATCCGGTCTGGGAGGGTTGAAATTTATTATGTGATGGACCTATATAACGAATCTCGACCTTCTCATTCTGGTTAGAATAGGTTTGGTAGTATCCCTAGAACTACCCTCCAATATTTCAGAAATGGAAAGGTAGGAGGGTTATAGGAAAAAAATTTCCATCCAAATAAAATAATCATAACAATATACAGTGTTACAATTAAAATGGGTTCAATGAAGGTTAATAAATTACATTTAATTTTTTTAAATAATAAACATACGTGGAATTACTGGATGTTCTGTTTTTCTTGTAAAAGTAAATAGCATTGCATAAAACAACAAAGATGCAACTAAAACTCCACTAGAAATACTCAAAAAAGTTGTCTCTGGTTTTTTTCGATCATTACAGCATCCCCAAACTCCAGACCAATTTCCTCTAGTCGTATTCATCTGAAAAAAAATATTGATAAGCACATATATTTTTAAATTTACAACATTAAATGTTTAAAAAACTATAATTACGTGCAGCGAAGAAATATGCATGTAATTATAGTTTAACTATTCAGCGATTGTGAGCTACTATATCAGCTTGGCCTCTTCAGCATTAGAGGACTGATTTATCAGTTTTATCAATAGTGCCATCTAGAGCTCAAGGCTTATTCCATTATCTTTCGTTGCCACTAGAGTTCATAAAAATGAACCTTTTTTTTTACATCTTTGTTTAGACAGTATGTATTTTAGAGCCTATTCCTACTTTTACCCCTTGTAAGTTTATTCTTTTAATACCTGCTAATGACCTTCATTTCCTTTTCTAACTTTTCTGTTCTTCTTTAACTATGTCTAATAAAGTGTGCAATGGAAGTTGATTTGTTGCGCCATGCTTTAGTATTTATATCAGAATATATCCTACCATACTTTTTAAAAATATATTATTCTGTAATAATAATAATAATAGATAAAAATAATTATGATAATGATAATAATTAATACCAACTGAGTGAATCAAATAGACTTTCTTGATAATGATATATTCTATATATGAAAACAAATGTTTTTCTAATACTCTTAATATTTCAAATATATTAAAGAGAAAAAGGATAGATATCAAGAGTTCTCGCACAGATAAACTAATTTTTATATAATGTATAGGTGTTAATAGTTATACAAAATAAATCTGATCATGTAAACTTTTCTTCATCTAGTTTTTAGTTATTTAATATTTTGATGTTAGAATTATTTTATTAAAACACTTTGTTGTAATTTAAGTGTCTGGTTTTATTATTTATATTTTTTGAGATCTCAAAGTGCAGATATATTTTAATTAACTCAAACATACATTCATTTTTTTAATCTTAGTAGATGCTTCTTTAGTTTTCTAATAAAAGCATTGTTATCAACTTTTCAAAACAATTATTTTGCTTTATTTCAAATGCTAACAGTTAACTATGTTTCAATAGAAGAACACAAATGTTCAAGGTAAGGCCAATAACAAGGACCTTCAGAAATAGAGTTCTCGATTAATACGGCATATAAGCAGTTATGAAGATTCAATAATAAATATTCCTCTTAACCATATATTTTCAGTACTAGTTGAAATAACCAGTTAGCCCATGCGAATTCGCACGGTATGTTGTTTAGTGGTCAAATGACAAAGTAATAACAAAATAAAATAATGCAATTTATCATAAGATAGAGAAATCAATTGTTACTTTCTCTCTGATTATAATCAACAAAGGAAACAAAAATTGATTAAAAACTTCATTACTTTTTTTTTAACCAACATTTTTACAAATCTCAATAGGCTGTATCTTTGCTAATAATTGTCCAAAATCAATGATATTTTTTTCTTTTTGTAGAAAATTTGGTAATCTTTTAAATAATCATAGGTATAATCATAGAACTAAGCTTCCAATGCTCTCGGTCCCAGGTTTGAATCGTGGCTCACGGCAGAAAAATTATTTATTCTGTTTCATTGGCCGTTGGGCAACCCTCCTGGGGCACAGTCAGCCTCTATAAAGTGGGCACCCTTAATTAAATAATTAATTAAGGGGGAACCCTGGTGGTAGAGCAAGATCTCGGTCAAACACCTCCTTGCACAATCATTGACCAAGAAACAGTGCTTTGCCTAAACAGTACTGAACCCAAGACCCTTCATAGTGGTACAGTTGTTCTTTTTTTACAAGCAAAGAAAAAATGTGTAATTTTTGAGTTATTCGCAAATAAAGTTTTTTTTCTTTCTTAAATTTTTGCCTGAATTTTTGGAGTTATGGGACTCTTTTTCATACCCAAAGGAGAGGGAAACCTTCAAAATGGGTGGCTCAATCTTGGGATCCGATGAAGAATTAACAAAGAAATGGCTTACCGACAAAAAGCACCTTTGATAAATAACGTAATAGTCCATGGTACAGAACCCATTTATCAAATTATTAGCTGAAACTTTGTAAATAGCTTCATCTCATCGAAACCTACAAATATTTTATTCACGAAAATTCTCAGAATTGGGGCATTTTCAATCTGGAGGTCGTAAAACTTCTTTGATTAGGTCGTCAACGTCTCTTTGGTTAGGTACTCAAAACTCATAAATACCCATTTGCGTTCCACTTTAATCGTAGGATAACTTGAGCACAAAGTCGAGAAAAAAAGGTGGCCTAAAAAAACATTGACTCAATATTTTTGCAGGCCCCATTTTTTATCAATTTGGTGATCAAATTATCTTATGATCCAAGTGGAAAGCAAGTGGGTATTTATGAATTTTTAGTACCTAATTAAATAGACAAAGTTTGTCGACCACCCAATTCCGAGAATTTTCGTAAATAAAATATTTGTAGGTAATGATGAGATGAAACTATTTAGGAAATTTCAGCCAGATGTTAATAATTTGATAAAAAGGGGTCTGTACCACGTACTATAAACTCCTCCTCTTTCAATAATAGGGACCTCAAGTCAACAAAATGGGACATGTATCCCATAGCAACACTACAATTAATGTGAGGTTGTGTGGAAGCGAACCGTGTCTCAATAATTTCGAAAATGGTATGCGAAATTCTGAATCCAACGGTACCCCAATGGTATTTGAGCATAACAAAAGCTTATATTTGATCCAAAACCGATTTTGAGCCTTACTGTAATAATAATATATGTGGGAATTGGTAGGCATTAATAACTCTGCCAAGGATGTTCCCAAGACTATCTGAAAAAGGCGAAGGGCTAGAACATCTCGCTCTGGTACCAAGTAAAAACCACTCAATGATCTTAAGGATGGATGAGAATCAAGTATTCCAATGGCCAAAAGAGCAGAAGAGCCAAACACCTCCTTGTGGGCAAGGGAACGGACTACAAAATCTAAAGGAATAAACCCTGCATAAAAAAAATAAATAAAATCCCATTTCAGAATAGGATGACTGAAAGGTGCAAGTAGCTTAGGTAAAACCAGAAACCAAACGGATCATGCTTCAACTTCCAATAAAACAAAATTGGGATTAATTACTTAAATGATAAAACTCACTTTTTTAGCATGTTCCTTTCTTACAATTACAGAATTGATTAATTATTTTAGTAAAAGTGTTGATTGCTTTGACAACTTACGTAAACTCCTAACGGATCCTCATCAGTTAAAAATGGTGTCTTAGTCCATTACATTGCTGATTATAACTTCCATTAACTCAAAAGGGATGAACAAACCTCCGAGTCCTTTCAGTTGAGAAGGACTGCCTTACTAGACAGTTCATTCACCTACACTTACTTTTGGACATGCTCGAATTCTATTTACAGAGTGATCATGAGATCTTGTGCCACCCATCATAGTGGGGCAACTTTTACAGTAGTACCGTTACTTAATTCAAAAAAGACAATTACGCAAAATCTGCATTATATAAACAGATACTATTAACATAAGACATTAATTAATTTAGAAACATACCAGATCAACAATATCCATACAGAAATTATTTTGACCAGTATCAGCTCTCATATTATTGTATACTTCATTCAACAAAAGATATTCCTTTTCACATTTTTTACACGTATCATTAAGAGTTTCAGATATACATTTGTTTAACTCCGATGAAATGTTGAGAATTTGTGATATTACTGGTTTTAAATATGGTTGCTTATGATCCTCAAAAACAAAGCAACCTAAAAATAGAAATAATTAGGATAAGAAATTCTGTATTCTAAATTTAATAACATTTGTTTTATGGCATGATTTACTGTCACAAAACGCTCTAGACCACAGTTTATCAGCATAATCAAAACCAGATTTAACAACTTGTAGCCTGTCAAGATTAATTAGTTTGTCTCTACAAGTGTCACCTCCCATATCTTCAATCTAAAAAAAAAATTACAATTATACAGAAAAAAAAGCACAAATACCAAAATTATAATTAGATAAACCTTTCTTACATTAAGAATACTGTAGTAAATATTTTTCACATCAATATAAACTGAAACACAATCTTGACATAACTTTATGGGCCTAGCATTCTTAATCGCACAGAATGTGAAATTACCAGACAAAGTGGCAAAAGTTATTAACATCTCGTCACATGAAGATGATATCTCAACCTTCGTTCTATATATATATCAAAAAAAGTTGAACATGAACAATAATAAAACAAATCAAAATTGGAATACCTGTTGATAACCACAAATACAATAGGATATTTACAAATTAACATCCACTTCATCAAATGAATGACCAAACGAATTCCAGCAGAAAATCATTACCATCATTATAGCAAACCAATTGAATCGAGAAAACATTTTGAATTTATTTATTTAAAACTATTCTAGGTCCTCCCCAGTGAAAAGTGGTGGGATGAACAAGGAACCGTTCCAATAGGGGAACTATTAGGAACGTTACGTTTATCAGTTTCGTCAGGAACGAAACGCATAACGGTCTGGGATTCGCAAACTGCTATCCTTTGTCATTCATCGACGTTGTTTTATTAAATTTTTATAGTTTCCACTTCTTGGATTGACAGTATTATCGCATCAGATTATCTGAGCACAGGTATTTTACATATTCATATCCATCTTTATTCAAAGCTTTTTCAGCATGTATATTGTAAATACGGCAGTTGAAAGAGACAGTTTTAAATCCAAATGAAAATAAAAAATAAAGGATGTTGATGGTCCATCCCTTTTTACGATAGACAATTAAATTTAAAAATATATAAATAACTAGGAGAAGAGCTAGAACTAGTAGAGGCAGAATTTAGGAGGTAACGAATTTCGAGAAATTATTTTTCTTTTTTTAGTTAAGTAAAAATATTTGTTTCTACTTTTTAGTCTCTAAACCTTAATTCAACGAAAAACTCGAGTTGATTATATCTTATGATATACCCTATTTCGCAATTCATTTCCTAAAATATTGATATAAAATGTTGGCTTTTATTGATGGGTAGCGGTAAAATGCAGCTTACTCCTCCTAATTGGCGCCAATGCAACTAATGCAACCAATTGGGCCGTAGAGACGACAGGTAGATATTAAATAATGTTGAGAATCTGATAATCTATTGTCTATTTATTTATAAGAATATAATCACAACAAAATTAGGGGGCGAGATGGGCCAGAGGGCTAACGCGTGTGCACAGCAGCGTGCGTTGCTCGGCAATCTGATAACCGAAGTTTAAGAAAAACAAATAACACGAGTTCAAATCCCAGTGCCCAGTGGGACTTTTAACTCAGCATAATTCTCTCGCCTTATCTACCGTCCCGAGAAAAAAAACCGTGTAGCTTAAAAGGCAAGGAAGGGGGGGAAAAAAATTAGGATGCGTAGGACGAAGGATTCGGCTGCTGTTAGCTGAGCCTGGCCTAAGAGAAAAATAATAAAGCTAAAATATTACCCAATAATTTTGACAAAATTAATTACTTAATAATGATTATTACTTAGGCAAATTACGGGTTCTTTTTTTATTGGCTTCAATATTTGTCTCCTATCCGGGGCAGCCCTCTCCCTCAACGCGATTACCCTGGTTATATCAGGGGTCTCCAAACTATGGCTCGAAAAAGTTGCCTTAATTACATGGTAAAATTTTAAAATACTATTACAAAAATATAAAATTAATCACACACAAGGTTACCATAACATTTATTAGAGCTTATTTTTTCTTCTAGAAAGCTCAATACACAGCTGAAGTGTCATTTATAGAACACGATTTTTTTTTATCACAAGCCATGCCCCGCGGGACTTGAAATGGGGTGGTCTCAATGCGCCCTTTTCTTTCAAGATGCCGGCCAAAAAAACTGTGTTGGTATAGACTGTATCGCCTAAAGTAATGTTACTTTTGATGTATAATTGTTTGGAAATAAGCCATTATGTAATAATTTGCAGCGTTATTACACTCATCACATCTAATAATACTAAACAAAATTTTCAATTACCCACACTTTTGCAAGGTAGATCTTTGTTTATATGATTGCGCTATTTAGGATGGACAGGATTTCCCGATTTCTGTAGTCTTTTTTATTAAAAATATTTTTTATAAATACGAAGTGTATTTTCGTAATTAATTTATTATTATACATCTGTGATCATAGTAAAACATAAAATTAAAGTTTTTTAAAATAATTTATGGTGGAGGCTAAGTCCGACATCTATCTTTACGTGGTCCTCCCTAGAAAACGCTCTCAGAGTAGGCTAATAGATGTAGCAATGTCTCTCAACTGCCTGAAGGATATGAACAAGGATCAGAAGAAACAATTGCTTCTGCGAAACCTCAACACGAAACAAACTTTAGATTTAGAAGAAATAGAAGCTACCACCTATAGATAAACTCAGGATCTTATCTTCTCGTTAAGACAAATATCTGAGGTCATAGAAAAAGATAAGGAAGTCTTTACGTTTTGTCGATCTCACGAAGGTCATCGACGGGTCAGAAAAAAAGATATTGTAACAGCACTAAGGGAAACAAATTTCAACTTGGAACTTCAGAATAGAAACATAAGTCCCTACAAGAAACAACGTAAAGTGGTAAGGTCAAGTAACCACACATCAAGAGAATTTGAGACTGACTGATTGAGAGGTGCAGCCTGACTCCAATGCTATTCAGCATAACTCTGGACATGGTCCTGAACAGAACCTTTCTGGGTCCGCCACCGTTTACAAATAACAAAAACACTGCTTAATTAATGATTCAATTTAGGGGTGCCCATCCCCTCTATGACCGATGACGCATAAACCTACTCCCACCCCTTCCAACATATTTTATTCCTCTCTTCATTGCCCCCCTCATAAATTTTAATGGTGCCATGAAAGGCCCTTCTGACCACTCCTGATCCAACTGCTATAGGTATTGTATAAACTTATAAATACCTAACTTTAGAGGATTAGGAAACCTCTGCTATGGTGGGAACAAGGGAAATCATCCTATGTACATACATAGTTCGCGCAACAACCCGTTACCGGGTCTAGGCCTCCTCCAAAAGTCTCCGCCAGTTGGCTCTATCTGTTGCTGCAGCTCTCCAGTTCCTAACGCCGAGATTGCGTGCATCGGCTGTGACGGAGTCAGCCCACCTCACATTTGGCCTACCCACTCTGCTCTTCAGCCAATGTCCTCTTAGGGATCTCGTCCTCCTTCATCCTTGCAATGTGGCCCGCCCATCGAAGTCTCCCAATCTTGATCCACTTGATGATATCAGGATCTTTGTAGTCTTGAGAGTTCCTGATTCTTCCTCCTTATCCGGGTTTCTCCCTCTCGAATCAGGCCAAAAATTCTTCTCAATAGTCATCCTATTTACATTTATGTTATTGTCTTAAAGGCTATCTGTGCCAGTAACTTCAGTGTCCTGAGAAAGAAACAAGGCTGATGTATCAGGGGACCATTTTATATTATGATCAAATGTTAAATACAAGATCCAGTTCTTTTTCTTTTTTACAGTTCGGTTACAGTTTCATGAAAGTAGAGATTAAATGTGAGGAATATCAGCCTCTGAATCAGGTGGAGGGGCTACCTCCTCACAGTATCCTGACGGGATGTAACTGTAAGTGTTTGAGTAGTCTACAGAACTTAAAAACCAAGAGGTTGGTGACATTAATTCCTGATGACTGTACAATTCAGCTAGCCCTTGCGGTAGTTACATTTTACATCCTAACAATAATTAATACCTACACACTGTTTGGTGCTAAAAACGTTTTCTGATGAAATCAATTGAAGTTGTTGTACCAGCATGCTAAATTTAAAATTCTTTTCCTTTGATAGCACATTTTTTGAAGATGATTTTATGGGATTTGCTCATAGCCTTTCATTGAAATGTATCCAGGTAGATTTTAAGAATTTTGTTTATAATTTCTTTATTGAATTTTATTACATTTAGTCACAATTAAGGACACTAGTGATAGTGATAAAGGAATTCATTCACACCATAAGTACAATAAATAAAAATTAATTAAATGGAATAACAGAAAAATTATAATACTAAAAATAAATATATAAACAAAAATGAAAATTAAACTAATCACATTAACAAATTAAATACAGATCTACTTATATATTTATAATTGGTAAATGGTTGACTATCGTGGATAATGAAGAGAAGAATAGTTGGGGTGGTCAGTCAAAAATAAATGATAATAATATGTATTTTTACATATGCGGACGTTTCGACCTCAAGTTCAGGCCATCATCAGGGGTAAGAAAAGAACCAGATAACAAGGTACGAGAAACATAAAAATTAGGTTAGTTCAAACTTCATGAGATAACCATTGGAGATGAAGCCACTATACATCCCTTCTATCCACCTCCCTCCTTCAATAACATGAGCATTGCATCTTTTACCTTAGAGCAGTCAGGTTGTTATCATTTCTCTTACTTATTCTCTTTCTTATTTCAACCTCCTCAGTTTCTCTCCTCCTTCCTTTCATTCCTTTTCTCTGTTTTAACTCTTTATTATTTCATACTTTGTCTGTACATATTGATAGACTTTACATCTCAATTTTCTTTCTAAATATTCTATTCACTATATCTTAATTTTACTATTTATTTCCATTTCTTATATAACTTCATATTTTTCTGTTTTACATTTTATTCCAAGATTCCCTTTACAATACTTCTGTCACCTTTTTGACTATGTTTACTTCATCATTCCACACTTTGTACCTGTTATTATTATTTGTATCTTGTTCTTACTATTGTCATTATTCTAACAACTTCATTTTACTGTAATTTTTATGTTTCTTATACCTTGTTATCTGGTTCTTTTCTTAGCCCTGATGATGGCCTGAACTTCAGGTCGAAACGTCGGCATATGTGAAAATAAATATTATCATTTATTTTTGCCTTCTTTTTTGACTGACCACCCCAACTATTCTTCTCTTCATTATATATTTATAAACATTCATTCAGAGGAACTCTGAGCCCAGTCTTGCCCCCCAAATGGGAAATTTAATGTTTAAATTAATCCAGGAGAAAAATATTATTTTAGAATACCTTAATAAATGTGTTCAAATGACAGATAAAAGTAAAAGTGAAGAAATAGATTCGACAGACTAAGTCCTGTTGAACTTAAATGCCAAGGGATGAAATCTACTAACTAGGTGTATAAGTATAGTCGAAGGTGCCAGACTACACTAATTTTAAATATTCGTAGACGTTGAATTCCCTAACAATCTGCCAAGCAGTTTAAATAGAAATGCAGGTACATTTGGCTCAGTGGCATGCACCCCCTACCAAAACGTTTTATGCATAGTTATATTGATCATAAAAAAAAAATTTGTTTCATAAATAAATGAAGTAGATATTTATTTTATATTTTCGAACTTGTTCTTAATAGAAACAAAAAAAAATTTCACATGGCCTGGAGAAACCCCAATAATGACTTCTTGTTTTTCTTTCTCAAGGAAGCTTCGGTTTATATTTTAAAGGTTAAGGCAATTAAACTTCTATTTTTATCTTTCATCTTTTTTAATCACATCTGACATTTCGGGATAATTTTTCCCATCTTAAGAGATTCCTTTATATTTACTTGACTTTGTAATGTGTCACCAATTTTCAAAAATTACAATAACAGCCGTATCTATTTTTATATAATAATACTTTTCCTGGTGTTACACATTCATTTTCCATTTATAACTATACCAGCCAACACTTGGTTATTTCAAGTTCCTAACTATACCAAGTGTTGGTTGGTATAGTTATAAATGTAAAATGAATGTGTAACACTAGGAAAAGTATTATATAAAAATAGATACAACAGTTATAGTAATTTTTGTCAATTGGCACCACATTACAAAGTCAAGTAAATATAAAGGAATCTTTGAAGATGGGAAAATTATTCCGAAACGTCAGATATGATTAAAAAGGATTAAAGAAAAAATGGAATTTTAATTGCCTTAACCTAATCATAACGTTTATATCTAAAAATATTACTTGACTCTTGGCAATTTTCTCAGTTGTCATTTCATATCTTTCAAGGTAGACCTCTTTGACCTCACGATTCCACAGAAAAAAACTTTATTCTTGTCTCAATTGGCCTTAACTTCAAAACATCAGGACATTAAACCAAATATAGAGGGAAATAAAATGTATAAAACTTATTCTTCATATTCTATTGTCCAGTCAAATATGAATACATAACTAAACACAAATAAAAAACTTTATTTTTCTAGTGTTTCTGCCTTCATCAGAGTAAAATTGATCAGGTTTCTGATGCAAACCTATTATGTCTTTGTATGACCAGGTATTTTAGGGACATGGTCAATTCCACACTTTCTAACTTAATCTTTTCTCAGGATCAAGTAGAGCAAGCCATCCTCCCTGTATAAGCTACCCAGTAATGAATTTAAATTCATGTTTTATTATTTTTAGAGGAATGAATGAGAATTTTCCGACTTTAATAGTCCAATTTAAGAGTTAATATCATCCACAAATACGATATATAGAAGTGAGCTAAGATTGTCACATTACTTGACCCCTTCGTCCATATTAAATCTCTTTGATTTGACAAAATTTATCTCATGCTCATAATTTTGTTGAGAATCATATTTATTAACTATTTTATGACCTAGAACTGATATATTATTTAGAGTAAACATCTGGCAATAACCAGTGATTTTATTTTTAGTAAGAAAAATTAGAACATTCACTTAACCAGGAAAGAAAGAAGATAAATGAAAATTTTAACCTAAAAGCTTCATTCACTAGGTCAGTGTGGAGGCACGGCATACTTTTCCATAAAGTTATATTACAGGTACCATGCCGCGACGTCCACACTAAGCTAGTGTGTGGAAACAGTGTTGTACATACAAACCAAATTCAATTTTGAATTTAAAATAGGAGATCATTGGAGCTGGCATTAGTGCTATTTTCATAGTAATACCTACACATGCCAAAACAAAAAAAGCTGGTAGCGGAGGAACATTTTAAAAAATAAAAAAAGCAATAGTGGCAACTTGATTATTTTTAAAGGATAGAAGCTTGTCACACAATTTCATGAGAATAACAAAATTTGTTTTTGAAATAAGGCCCTAAAATCTCTGAAAAGAATATACAATATCATGAGGCTTTTCCATCATAAATAAGATTGCTAATAGCTTTATTACAAACTCAAGCTCCATATGTTTGCTGTAAAACAATATTATAAATTATGATTTAAAATATAAAATTAATAAAATATTTACAAATAATAACAAATCAAGTACATAATAACCAACATGAAGAAATCCCACAAATTATTTTGCACCACTTATTGATGAGTTTGCCGTGTATGCTTATAGTAATGTTTTCCATTTAAAATGTGTTACACTCCAATCCAAATTTATCAAAATTTTATTTAAAAGGAAAACAACCAAAAGCCAACAGGTTTCTTTATTGCCATGCCATCTAATTTAGTCAGTCCAGTATACCGTCCAAATGTTGCTAGTTGACGGTATACATTCTGATAAGCCTAATATTAACATGTTGCCATTATTTTGTGTCCTAATTGGTTAATAAACATTTAAACAAACCTGACAGATGCTAGCTTTGCGACTTGAATTACACAAGTGTTTTATCAGCAGTTTAATAAATTAATAAAAATGCTAAAGCTTACGGACAATATGACACAATAAGCACCCAAAATGCAGCAACATAAAAACTGATTTATACTCTGTTGCCTCTTAAGTACAATACAAGAGTTGATTGTAATCTATTAAACACAAAAATGATTTTATAGATGTAAAATTTAAATAAACACCAAGATTTCAAGTTTATACTACAGAGGACAAACATGCCGGACATGTAACATTCAATTTAGATAAAGACAGGAATGAACAAATAAAATTATTTACAATGACTCTAATACGGTTTTCTAAAAGTAAAATTTGTTTTCCTAGAAAAAGAGTAAAACTTTTATAAAACACAAGGTAACATTTACAAACATAGTTAAAATTTTAAAGTAAAAGAAATCTGATGGAGAGTTAAATTTAAATTTAATAATATTTAAATTTATATTTACATTATATCAGTAGGTTAAATTATTGTAAAGAGTGTTTTGTCTAAATATCACAATTGTAAGAACATACACAAAGTCTATTGACCTAAAAATATATACATAAACAATTAGCATGAATGAAAACATTAAACAAAAAACTAAATCACAGAATCATAAAAGAATTTCTATTCCATCTAACACTGTCAAATGCATGGAGGTTTTCAGAACAAAATGCTGCAAGCAATTTGGAATCTAAACCAGAATCTTTGAGGCTTTCCATATTAAATGTATTTGATTGCTTTGAAGGTGATTTTGTAATTGTTTCATTAGGACCTAAAAAAAATAAATAAATTATAGATTTATAAAAATCAATTTGTTGAACATTGCTAAATTTTCCTACTGAAATTCATTCCTCAACTCAAGAAAGCAAGAAAATGTTTTATTTTGTTTTTCTATTTATGCAACGCGTCTCTTTTACTGCTTGTAACAAGAAACAACAATTCTTATATGAACTGCTCAGTAAAGAAAAAGTCATAAAACAAACAAACAAAATATTCATTCACTAACATCCTATTCATTTTTGTTTTAGCTCATTTTTTTTATACATAGATGGATTCCGGACAAGTTTCCAAATACTATAAATAAACAGACAGGTTATTGAATAAAATATAATATATATATATCATTGAACATTCTATATTTTCATTTGTTTAGAGCAGGGGTCTCCAAACTACGGTCCACAGCCAGGCCAGGTAAGCACCTCCAATCCATCCCGCGAAAGTTCCTTTGCTTGCATGGTAAAATTTTAGAAACAACTAAAAAAATTTAGTGAAATTTAGCAAATTACTCACACAAGAGGTTACTACAACATTTATTGCATGGTTCTCTTAGAAAGATCATTTCACAACTGAAGTGTCATTCATAGAGCAAAATATTTTTTTTATCACAAGCCATGGGCCGCAGGACTTAGTGGAAGTCTCATGGCGGACCCTGGTTTAGAGTTCATCATAAAGTGACCATTTGCGCACTATGAACTTTGTGACACCAGACTTGTTATTAAACTTATCGTAGACCTCCTGTTTTTTACTGCATTTTCATTCGCCATTCATAAGCTCTAAATGCCATGATTTTTTCTGATTTTCACTGCATTTTAATTTGCCATTCATAAACACTAAACAGGAAATTCTTCTTAGTATCTTGTATTCTATATCAAATGCCCTCCTCTTATGGCCTCAGTTGTTGTCCATGTCTTGAATCCATAAGTCAAAATTAGTCTGGCGAGTGTTATGAAGAGAACTTTATAAAGTTTCACTTTATGACTTTAGAATAATGGGTCGCTAATTTTTTTTGCTTTCTAAATCCATTGTAGGAAAGGTTGACTACCCAGAAACCTCTTGCTTATTTCCATATTCATTCTGTTATCACTAATTATTAGTGAACCTAGAAATGCAAATCCAAAACCTGTTCCAAGATATATAGTCCTAAATCTTACATTCACCATTCTGTCTTGGAATCTCCTGAGTTATCATATATTTCATTTTTAACCTATTTACTATCAAATCTTGTTTCTTTGCCATAGCCTAGAATTCCTGAAAGGATTGGTTATCCACCTGCAGAGAGGATCTAATCACAAGAGAACCTATACCATCTTATTAGATGTTGGGTCAGAAATTTGAACGTGGGTTAGTTCCACACCTTCTACACCTAATCCCCATTTCCAAAGCTAGAAGGAAAAGGGAGTATACTAAAGTGTTATCCCCTTGTTGATAAGAATTCTTCCGATCTGTAGCTCCAATTCTCACAAAACAAATCACATACTGCATGGTTAACCTAATCTGTTTAATTATTGTTGGGAATATTGAACTGTATTAGTGCTTTGTAAAGTTTTGCATTGTCAACTGTCTCAAAGGTTGATTTAAAATCAACTATGATATGTATATAGTGACATGATGTGTTTTCATCTTGCAATCATGTCCTCTTTTCAGAATTGTTCTCAGTCAGAAAAGTTGTTCAATTGTCTAAATCTGTATAGTTATCGTGGCCTCTGCAAACAGTAGAAATCTAAAGAATAGAATGTTAGATAATGTTTTATAAGAGCAAATGAGTAAAGTAATAACATAATAGTTGGAGTAATTCAATAGATAACCCTTTTTATTTAATGAACAGATAAGGAGAACGGATAACAGTCTTCTTCAATTCAGTTGGCACCATTTTCGTTATCCAGATGATACTAATGAACATAAATCGCTGGGGCATTGTTGTTTATTATTCTGTTTAGGATATCAGCGACTTTATCTTCATCTGATAGCTCCATCTCAACCGAGGTAGTGATGGACGAGTGTGTTGGAGCGTTGCCGTTCTAGATCCTGGTGCCTAGCAACATCAGTTCAAATTCAGCTTGGGAGAGGTTGACTTTTATTTTGCGGCAGACGCACGGAATGAAACTCGATCCCCCACTATGGTTAGAATAGGTTTGGTTGTATCTCTAGAACACCCTCCCGCCTGTATCCCAGAAATGGTGGGTAAAGGGTTATCCAATAAGAAAAAAATAAAATAATAAGCTCCATGTGATTTGCTTCAGTGTGACGGGGTTGTGACTATTCTATTGCTTTTTGATCACTCATTAGCTCCTCAAAAAATCTTTCTTATTCTATTCTATTGTATCCATCTTATCCATTCTATTATACCAACAATTCTGCTAGGCAGGCTTGTTACTTTGATTGAAGGAGCTCCTTCCCCTTCCAAACATATTGCAGGAGTTTGTTTGAATAGCTACCTGGCTCTATTAACCAGACCTGGGCACTCTTGAAATAATTTATTTCTGAAATAAATCATATGATTTATTATTGTTAAATCATATGAAAAAGATTATTTACGAAATATTGGTTATTTCTGAAATAATATTTCAAATTGCCAATGAAATAACTACTAAATTTATTTCTGAACTACTTGTTTCAATATTTTAACATTGGTTGAAATAGAGTAATTTATTTCGAAATGAGTAATTTTAGCCGATTTTAAGGCTACTCTCTGACATAACGATTTATTATTGATCAATTTTAACTTTTCGAATTTCTTTGATTTAGGCGTCCTTTATTATGTTATCAGAGGTTTCGTTTAGATTGTTATCAGAGATTCAGAAAACACAATAGATTTAAAGATTACTCCCTCGTCTATCGGTTTATTATCAATTATTTTTTAACTTTTTAGGTTTCTTTGATTTAGTGGTCTATTATTATCTTACCAGACCCCTAGTTAATTTCTCATGTAAAATACCATTATTATGAACTAAATTCAGCTTTTTGTATTCTTGCCATTTATGTCATCTACTTTTATGTCGTTACAGGCAGACATTTATAAAATACTATTGAATTTAAGACTAAAAATATTATTGTTCAAATATTTATAGTTTACTGATTTGAGGGTCTGTTAATCTTTTATCAAAGGTGTATTTTTTAAAAATAACAACGATTTTAGGATTATTATCTTCCCTATTCATTTATTTTTTATTAGTTTTAGCTTTTATAGTAACCCATCTTTGTTGTTTCCAATCCTCATGGAATCCTACTTTGTTATTATTTCCCATTTAATTGGACCTACCACAACCCTCCCTTAGAGATTTTTGGCAAGACCGGCAAGACTTCTTTCATACAAACATACTTATTCTTATCTTTTTCTAGGTAAAGGTTTAGAGGTTACTCCCAGCATATCTATGCTTAAAATTGTCTAAAATCTTCTCTTCTGTAGTTGCAACAATTCGTTACCTCAACTTGTGCATTTCTGAAATATTTTTTGTCTATTGGACTATGTCATCCATAATATTAAAAATAACAGTTCCAAGAAGACATTCTCTCTAAAATTAGTATCAGCGGTCTACTTGAGCAGTTTCCAAGAGCATTTTTTAGAGATAACTAAGTCAAAATTATAAGTTATGCTAGAAAATTTTATATAATTGTTATTAAAATCAACAAGCAACCAAAAATTTCTTGTTAAGGCATTATAAAAATAAACTCCTAATCAAAAACCACTTTTATTATTTACTAAGATTGAAGAATATAATAAAATAAGTAATTAGGTAACAGAATTTATCAGAGAAAGTAATTTTAAAAGAACAGTTGTAAATATAAACCCTAACTACAAACAGATAAATAAAACACTAATGGAGAGTGTAGTAAAAAATTAATAATATTTACAAAAACTATACCTCCAATAACACAATAACAAACTTTTAAATCAAACAAATCGGAAAAGTTGAAATTAATCGAATATAAAACAATTAGTGATATACTAATCTCCAAATAAATAGTGTTTTCAAAAATTTTGGCTCTGATAACTTTATAATAAATCCCTAAATTGAACAAATTTGAAAAATTGAAATTAACCAAATACAAAATGATACACGAGAGATTAATCTTTAAATCAAAAGTGTTTTCGAAAATTACTTCTCCGATAATACAATAAAGGCATACTACATGGACTGAAATCTGAGGCATATGACATGGAGCTGCCAGATGAAGATGGATTTACTGATGCCTTGATGATCTTCTCATGATGCCTTGATGATCTTCTCAAACTATTAACGTATGGTGGAAACCAACTCACCAAACTACTTTTTAATTTGCTGATATCACCTAGACGGAGGAGATGATGTTAACTGACTGGAAGAAGACTGTTAGCTGTCCATTACATAAAAAGGGTTACCTCTTGAAGTACCACAACTGTTATGGTATAGCTTTACTCCCTTGCTCATATAAAATATTTCATGTTAAGTGTAGAAGAAATTTATTTTTAAAAATATTTGCAAATGCATGTTTTATTAGGTGATCTTATGTATCGTGCTCAAGGATCCATTCTTCTAACATTATTTGGAACCATCAGAGAATTATATATATCACATGACAGTGATAAGAACCACCCGTGTAATTCAGGGAAAATACCAAATGATTTGTGAGATGCAATCTAACTTATTAAAAACAAAGATATTAATATAGAAAAAAAAAATTGGACTGCTAACTGTAACACTATATACAGTAATAACTTTAAATGTTACCTTTGCAAAGAGTGTATGCTTTGGTGAAATCAACATTCGCAAATGTTACTGAAAAAGTCTCAAGGTTTTCTTGAAGTATATTGCACAAATTTTGGACTGTATTCGGAAGTATTGGTCCACATACTTCAATTGTATAAAATCTTTCATTGTCTTGTTTCACTGTGCTTTCTCTAACCTAGACATTTATATTGGTAGATTTAGAATTATAATAGTAAAACATTAAAATTATAATAAAATAAATAACTAAACATATAAGGAAATAACGTTTAAAAAAATTACTTTTAAACAAAATGATTCTTGTTTAAAAAACCTGGTGTGTCCACTCACACAACTTTCCTACCTATTTCAGAAAAGTTTTTATATCTTTACATATGTTCATGAAGAAAAAAAAAATTGAATTAGATTTATTTTTCTCAAAATTGATTAAAGAAAAGATTTGAGCAATATTTATTTGATGAACTAAAGCAATGTAAACCGGTCTACGGTAGATCAGTGTAAAAATTTCAACACTCTCTAATATTGCTGATCAAAAACTTTTTGCCACCGCTTAATTTTGTCAAACAATAATTTCTGTTAAAAGTAGAGAAAATCGTGATGCTTGTGTGATGCGGGCAACAGATTTTCTTACTTTCACTTTTTTCTCTCATTCACCCCTTTCTGACACCAAGATATGAGCCCGTAATCTTACATTGGAAATTGAATAGCTGTAACTTCGTTAATAGTTGTCCAAAATGAACAATTTTTAAATAGTTTTTTAGGGAATTTCATAACCTTTCAAAAACAGGCTAAACAGTGTTTTTTTCAAATAACCTGTATCATCGTTAATACTGGTTTGATTCCGATATTTTTTTGTTTTGCTGGTAATTCAATTACCTTTCAAAAGTTTTATTATAAATTTTACCATATAATATCAGTCCGCTGGTGTTCCTCAAGGTAGTATCCTAGGTCCTATCCTCTATACAGTTTATACAGCTGACATCCCAACCCATCCCAACACTGTCATCACCACATATGCCGATGACACATGTATCCTATCAGTAAACAATGACCCAGCAATTGCATCCCAGATGCTTCAATCACACATCATAAATCTAGAAGAATGGTGTCAAAACTGGAGAATTAAAATAAACTCCAATAAATCCCACCAAATTACCTTTACCCTTCGTCGTAAACCAACGACTTCCTGTCCTACAGTTTCCTTTAACAATACTCCACTTATCCCTGTTGAGCAAATCCGATACCTAGGACTCCACCTGGACAAACGACTAACTTGGAATCCTCATACTAGACTGAAACGACAAGAAACCGCTCGACGTTTCCGATTACTTCAGCACTTACTAGACAAACGCTCTAAACTTCCCATTAATTACAAAAGACTCATATACTTGACTATAATAAGACCTATTTGGACTTACGGAGTTGAGCTATGGGGCTCCACTAAACCATCGAATTCCTCTCGCATCCAATCCTTACAATCCAAAATCCTTCGTAAAATCCTCAATGCTCCTTACTTTGTGACTAATAAAATTATCCATAAAGATCTTAATGTTCCTTATGTTTCAGATCTGGCCCAATCCAGATACCTATCCTTCCATAATAAACTTCAGAATCATCCCAACCCTCTCGTTTCTAACCTTGCTTCCTCTTCAATTCCTGATAACCCTCCGAGGCGTCTGAAAAGAAGATGGCCCCGTGATCTCCTAATGTAGTCATACCATTAGAGTGCTACCATTGGGTAGTTACTCAGCAAGTGTATTCATGTCATTATATCAATTATGTCCAAATTTACTTGATGTATTTATGTAATACAGTTGTAAATGTCATAAAGAAATAAAAAAAAAAAAAAAAAAAACCATATAATATACACTTAGCGAGTTAGGCCCCAAAACATTTTTCTTTTCTTTATAACTTTTTTTCCTGAATTTTCTCAGGATTAGAACATTATAGTAAAGTTTTATCAAAATCTTTTGAGCTGTTTTCGCTCTACAGTCTATAGAAAAACATGTTTTTCATTTATTGCGCGCAAGCTATTGCGTATCGAGCACTGAATTTCTGTCACAGGCATCAGTAGTCAAAACCCTACAAAATAAAAAAAGGAGCAACAAAATGGGTTTAGTAATTCCCGAGAAAATCTTGGCACAGACAGACAGACAGACCAATGGCTAAAAATGTGTTTTTCAGACTCAGGAGGCTCTGAAACATCCGTCGAAAACCGCATATCGGAAATTTGACCTTACCGCAATACTTTCCTTACTTAGTATAGGTAGGAAAGTAAAAAATATATATAAATTTAAGTTCATTTTTTTGGATTACATAGTTCAACTTACAATGAAAAGGATATAAACAAAGTACTTGTATTTAGAAGAAGGGCTTATCTAGGAACTTCATTCCTGGATATTCTACTTCAAATTTAATAATTTGTGTAATATCCTATGTTTCATGCTATATTTCTGCAACTATTGAGCATACTGTTTATAATGTTGCTACTGATTTCACAAGGAATTTCATATCGTAAACATGGTAATACTGCTCTCAGTTGCTGAAGGTTAAGATGCAAATGGTGGTAGAAAATCCTTCTCTGCAGTGCATCTCACATGTGCTCAATGAGATTGACAATACTGGAAGGGGCAGATGTGAAATGCCTAGATTTTCAAGACATTGATGAACAACGTTTCTCCTATAAGGTCGCATATTGTCATAAAAAAAATGGAAATTTGTGCTAATTATGACCCAGGTTTGAGGACTGTATGCCTCAATAATTTCTTGAATATACCAAACTGCAATGAGATTACTTTTCCGAATATGGATTATAGAGTCCGTCCTCCTGAGTTGACTGCATTGAACGAAGCACAAACTGGCAGTGTAGCCATCCCCTGTTCTGGGTAGACTCTTCGGCCACCACGCTCGCTATAAATACAGAAACGCGACTTGTCTGTAAACATAACATTCTAATTTGTATTCTCATTTAGGTGCTCGGTGCACCATGATCTGCATAGTTGATGTGACACACTGTTTCTGCAGAACACATTAAAGGGGCATAAGATGTTAGACTAACTTTCCACAAACTATTAGGAATGGTTTGTGTTGGTGTGGGCCTTGGCAGAACATTCAACACTTCATTTTAGGCTCATATATGTAATATAATATCATTTTTATAGATAGTAGGTGACCTGAAAAGTGGCCTAGTAAAAATTCAAAATTTGTTTAAACTCTCACAGTAGGGTACAGAGGAGTGAGGTTTGGACAAGCAGGCCTTTAGTCACACCAGTTGACAAATAGTTCAAACATTACTTTATTTATAGTCCAAATCAGTTACGGTGCGCGTTATTGCTTAGGACTATGTTTGATAATTCAGTTAACTACCTTTCTTTTTCACTGGATTAATGTAGGCTTAATGAGTTTGATGTTGGTTGCAATGGCATTTAAAAAATGGCTATGAACCTTTGAAATTCACGTACAACAGTTATGTAGTCCATGAAATATCCTTCCTGGTATGCTGCCTGCCTCTACAATTTTTTTTTTCCATCTTAAAGAATTTTTTATGTTATTTCAAAAAATAATCATCAATTTTTTTTTCTTGTTATGCCTCTTGACTTCTGCCATAAGTCTTCTAGCATCTATGGGGTTGTTATAGGCGACAATTGTGATCGTTTCGTTCTTTTGACAATATCCAGGGAACACATGGTTTACAATAACTGGATGCGATTACATTCACTCCCTCTTCATCAGGAACGTTTTTTTATTAAATTTTATGACTTATGATTTTCTTTTCATTGAATTGATGAATTATGAGTTTCCTTAAAAATTAAATTTTCACCATAAATTAAACTTATATTGATTTAATTACGACTATAAAAGTTTTAGTTTTATTTATTTACGACAAATATGTGATTTTTATCCTAAAATTATGCTCAATGAATTTTGTCCTTCTAGATAGCCTATCGGTCCCATTGTTGTATAAAATGGGTTGCTTATTGCAGTAATACTAATATCTCTGTCATCTCTTGGTGGCATAATGTGTTGAGATCCACTAACAGGTTTCCTATTGTACCGTTTTTTCTGAATCTGGTTAAAGCTCGAGATACCACAATCTGGGAGATGCCAACTGCATCGGCGATATCCACTCGCCTGTACCCATGGTTGATCATTCTCACGATCATATTGTGAACTTCTGGTTCCATATGCCTTTCCTTCGTTAAACAGAATATTACTGAATTCAAATTGAGAAAATTCAAAAACAACTTTTGTTTTACAAAATGAGTATTCTTCATGTTCATCCTTTTGTTAATAAATTATTAAAAATAGAGAATACTTGTTTACTTTTTATGTTTACCAACAAATAAGAGAATCTTTTAAGAACAAAAAATAATAGGATATTTTAATTACAATGAATAAAATAAGCATCAAATAGAAATATTCCTATTTATTTTTGAGCAGTGTATGAATATATATATATATATATATATATATATATATATACATCAATCTGTTTAAATTGTGAATATTAGGAAAAGGAGTATATATTCTGTAAATTGCATTGATTACCTTCAGGGATGAAAGGGATCCTCCTGTAAAAGCAACTGGAGAAATAAGTGTTGGAGGTATACCTGCTAGAGGTCCAGTAGTAGCTATGGCAGATTTACAATTAATTAAAAAATTAAAAAGAGCATGTACCTCACAACCATCCACTACAACAAGTGAATCATCGTTTTTGTCTCCTGTCTTCAGCAAGGAAGCTTCCTGAAACAAAATCCTTAAACTTAGCTAATAATTTCTATAAATAATTAATAAATTAAATTATATATGAAATCACAACATTGTGCACTTAGTGTGACTACTATTGATTGCAGAAAAGTTTGTAACTTTATAAACTTTATAAAGAAAAAACAAAAGTATTGAAACATTTTTTTCATTTCTGGTATAATGCTAAATCTTTATGTTTTAACAATAATGAGTCTAAATGTGTCCAAAATCGCTTTATATTAGAGAGTTAAAATACACAATTAATTTAAATTAACATAAATATCTTTAACCTTCAAACATGAAACATTGTGTTCGTTTTTGGACTCATTTCCATTAGAATTTTATGTAGAATTCAAAAAACAATTTAAAATTAATTGTAATTGGGAAAAATTAAATTATATATGTTTATAGATTTCAAAATTAGACACCTCCGCAGTTTTAATTTTTCCTATTTCTGATTCTGCTATGCCAAGACTAGCTAGCCAATCTGTTTCTTCTCTTTCATCTTCCTCTTGTTCAACTTCCTCAGTTTCTTCTTCTTCCTCTTCTTCATCTTCATTTTCAGAGGCTCCATTACTTCTCCTCTTCTTATTATTCTCTCTTAGGGGCATTGAGAAATTGATTCCTATTTTGAGGACAGACATTATCATATTATTATAAAATCAGATTAAATTAAATTGTATTAATATTTTTTTCATTTTTATTATTTTTTTAAAAATTATATATAACTATAAATGAAAAACACACACATAAAAAATATATATATATCAGGTATATTATCTTGTAAGTTTTTACCTTCTTTTCTTAGCAGTTTTCGGAAACCTCCAGAAGTGGGACAAACATAAGCTGTTGATTCTCCTATTCCATTTATTCCAGCAGCTCGAAACAAGCATGTGAAAGTATTTGCTACCATATAAAAATAAGGACAATGCCTGGTGCGCACCAGCTATAAAACAAAGATATGCGATACTGATTTTAAAATAAAGGAATTTAAATAGAATTATAAGTCAACCATCAACCCACAATCATTTAGTCAACCATCAACCCACAATTATAAATAGAATTATCTACTTTCATAGTAAATCATATAAATTATTTAAAACCTATTTTTGGTTTTTAATCCTTTGTATTTGCTATGACTCAATAATATTCCAAAGTTTTAATTTAAACTATAGAGCTAAGCAACCCAAAACATATTTTAGACAGAGTACAAGAAAATTTGGATTACTGAGTTTTAGATGAAACTACATACAATATTTTTCACTTAACGGCATTCGTGTGATGACCAATATTCTTTTATAGAAGTGGTATTTTTATCAACTTCTTAATGCAATTCAACAATTTAAAAAAATATGGTGCGATACATCACACAATTTTCACTTACCACCCTACTTTCAATAAAAGTAATTTTTTTTTTAAAGTTGATAAACATTAAGAATATTAATTCAATTATAAATAAATTATATGTATGTAATATATATATGTTTAATAACCTTTAATTATTTTTTATATTAAAAATAACTAAAGGTTTCTCATTATTTGGAGTAATAAAAAAGACTTAAGAGTATTAATATATCTATTTTAAAGACACTCCAACCAACTAATAAAATAAATGGCCACAACTATCATACCAGAGAACACCAGAAGACTAATAAAAAGGGTCTGGATAAGGGATCTACTTACATATTTTAATATAGTAATTAATATATCATATTCAAGGGGAAATATCTAGATCGAAAAATAACTGCTGTCACCAAGGTAGTAAAATCAAACTTACCACCTCACCTCCAGATGAATACCATTTCCCATACAAATTTTTAGTATAAAATATTTATTTTGTACTAAGAGAGTTGGAGGTTAAAGGAGTTCAACACATATGTAATTAAACAAACAGTTGTATAATTTGTAAAATAATCACCATAGGAAAGAAACACTATCGAGCCTAGGAAAGTTGAGCTCTTGTTATCTCCTCTACTCTCCTAATACTAAAACAAAACAAAATATGACACTCACTAAAAACTTGTTTATATAATAGAGAGGTTTAATATTATTGTTTTTTTTTTTTTTTTGTTTTTTTTTATGACTTTGCCAATCCATATTCTGATTGTCGATAGTTGTAATTGACAAGTGCGAATTAATAAATGAAAGAAAAAAAAAATCAATATTATACTTCTGTATTATACATAATAGACCTCTGTCTCTGACTAATCATAATGACCAGTCAATGATGGATTCTTTTCCAGGTTCACACTGTAAAAGAAATTTACCTCTTAAAACTGAAGTATATATATACACATCTACTTATACTTCAATAGTTGTTACAGTTAAAAAAAGGATATACTAATAAAGTAAATACCTGAAAAAGAGAACGAAAACTATTTGACCAATCCTTATACAAAGCTTCTTTGACAGTCGATGAAACAGGAAACAGTGGTTTATCAGCTCTTCTCAAAGAATGTCTAGGATACAAATCCAGCCAAGGCAATTGTGGATGCTGCCAAAAAAGGCAACTCTGGTGAAACCGAGAATTAGGACTACTGTCAAGACCTGCACCACTCCTCTCATTATTGAACTCCAAGCAACGAACAAACCTGAAAAACAATTGGATGAATATAAAACAAATGTATTTTATAGATAAGGCAAAATAAGAAACTATAATATTGAAAAATACTTAGAAAAAGACATAAAGTGTTGCAAATTATTACTTATCCACTTTCAGATCAGGAAATGTGTTATTTAATATGCCGATAGTTTGAAAACGGCACATTCGATTTGACCCAAACTTGGAGGAAATGTGGAGAACACTATAAAAATTACTTAGTATCAATTCCATTGAATTTTATTTAATAATTAAAATTAATATAAATAATTGTTAACAATATTATAATGGCTTCGAAATGTTGAAGGCACTGATCATATGGAGTGGGAGTTAGGCTATTACAATATTGTTATGGAGTTATAAAATTTCAGGTTTTATTAAAAAAATTAATTGATGCTGTATTGTTTGGTCGATCCCAAACGTTACTGGCATGATGCTTAACTGCTGTTACTTAAATTTTGTGTAATTTTCAATACATTTAAAGTAGTTTATACTCTGAGTTTGTAAAAAAAAAGTCTTATTTGTGATTGTGTTTATGTCCATTGAAGCTCAACCAGTTCGCCTTGGTCTCGATTCCCTCCTTAAATATCGAAGTTATGTGAACTTCACCCATATTTTTATCTTTTCTAGCTTAAAGCGTTTTGTTTTGACTGAAGGAAAGTATTGGTCTCGTTAACTCCGAACAAACAAGTTGAATTTTCCCTATGAATTTTCTAGTTCTATCCATTTTATGAGTGAAAACATACCTATTAAATATATATCACTACTATTAGTGCAAAAGGTCGTATGTAAAAATTTTCAACTTTTATTCTATTTGTGCTAAGGGTAACATTTTGTAGTCTGCAACTGATATAAGTAGTCTGCTACTATGGAAAATAGCAGATGACAATAAAATATGAAATTATACTAATAAAGTATAAAGAAATAATGAGTTTTTATGCACTCTTGCATTCAAATCAATTTTTACATAGGATTATACATAGCACTAACAGTAGTGAAATCCATGTTCAGTATGCATTTTTTAAATTAAGGATAATCAACTATGGAATCTTTAAAAAAGGCACTCTTTCGAATTTTAATATTAGCTGATAAACAAAATTTGGGGACATAAAACCCGCGAATGTTGAAGGGTAACTGTATTTCCGAATCGGCTTCCCCCAGAGATTTTATTCTCATACGAAAAATTGTATTCCTTTTAATATTTTAGCCAATGAAGAGGGTGAGGAAGCTATACTGACCTTACTTGGCAGATGTTTTTCATTAGGCTAAGCAGACAATTAGAATAACTCTGAAACCAGCATTAGGAATCTTCCAGAAGATTTATAGTTTCAGGCTATAAAAAAACAAATAAGATCAAATTTCAATGGGAACATCTGTACTAAGTTCCAAAATGCCATATCTCTGACTCACTGGATTCAGCAAAAAGAACTTATTATGAATAAGCTCAACATAATCCAGTAAAACATGGGTTGTTTGCATATTATAGCAGACAAGCTTTACACTATGTTCAATAAGTACAATATCCGCTGTGGAAGTGATCACAGAGCACATTAAGAATATGATTATGTGCATAGATACCAACTCCTGGAACACAGTCTGGAGGTATAAATGAAGAAGTGTCAAAATTGGTAAATTAACTGAAAGGAACCCTTTAGTGGTAATGAATGATTTCTTAGACAAACTTATTTTCTCATTGTTAATTAGACCCTCAGAGTAGAAACGATTTCCGAACACAATACTCTAGGATTTGGGCCTAGGCGTAGATACGACAAGAAGTGCACTGCACTTTTGAAACAAGTACAAGAAAAAGGCCAGGTTGTCCCGAAGCGAAATGCACAACAAAAAACAGAAGTTTTGGGATGAATTCATAGTTTAAAAAACAGCCTTTGTTTTCAAAGCAGACTATTGATGCTTTAAAACATGGAAATTCTCAGGGAAACACTTGTGAAGAGGCTGCAAGAATATTCGTTGAGATGAAATATCCAGGAATGACCCATCCCAAGACAATGAACATAAAATGTTCATAAGACCTGTCCCCAAATGCCAGGAGACCCCCTGGGGCATATTCGGCTTCTATTAAGTGATGATGGGCATGATCTCAGCCCAATCACTTCCGTTTACAACCATTGGCCTTGAAACAATACTCTCTCACAATGTACTGAATCCAAGATCTTTTAGACTACAAGGGAGTTTTCCAGAGGGTAAGGGCGGGGGATTAATGCCAGAATTAAAGCACTCATGGGCAGTAGGATGCAAACTCTTGCTCATTTTTTCAATTTATATCATTGATCAGATTGCCCACCCAATTTATATCATTGGCAACGGCGGTGCTGGGCACAAGTGTTAGCCTGCTCGATCACCCCGTCGCATATATTTATATTTTTGGTACTTGTCTGATACCCGGTAGGAACAAAACCTCCCTTGTTATCTAATGTTACATCACATAACATCCCTTCTTATCTTCTGTAATCTGTGAGTTATTCCATTGTTTAATTTTGTTCCATTTGTCTGATTTTCTTCAAATTATGGATGTTACTACATTCTGGGAATTGCCGTCTTCAGAAGAAGAGACTATCGAATATTTTCAAAACGCTGGGATATTTCCAAACGTGAAATGGAGATGTTTTCGTACCACTTCTAACAAAAACGTTTCTATAAGGAAAGGAGCATGGTTGGAGGGATCGAGGATTTCGTTTTTAACGGCTTTAAAATTAATTTATGGGTGGTCCCATAAATTAACAATAATACAGTGGGGTAAAGAGCAGCTGAAACTATCTAAGACAACTATGGTAATGTGGAACAAATTTTTAAGAGAGATTTGTGCCGATAACATGTTATATAGGTCACGTAAAAAAATTGGAGAACCTGGAAAAGTCGTTGAAATAGACTAGTCTTTTTTCTAAAAGAAAAAAAATTATGTAGGGAAAATTCTACCTGAGCAATGGATGTTTGACGGAGTTTGCCGAGAAACAGACACATGCCTCTGTCATGTGACAAAGACAGGGTAAAAATAGTGTCAGGTCAGTAGATTCAGATGACGTCAGTATCACACAATGACAATTGTATCTCACAGAATATCCTTGAGACTAGCAAGGAAGGTTCATCCAACAACGATCCGACCTTACTAGGGATCTCTAAGTGATAAGAACGTGATTAATAGAGATTGAGTAACTAACGTTATTCAGTTACATTTAATAATAAAGATCCAATCCAGACATTCGAGGAAGAGGAAGCAACTCTTAGTAAAAGAAACTGAGATCAGTATCAGTTTTTAATTTTATGACAATATTATCAGTTTCATTTTTTTGTTTTCAAGATTTCTGTTGTTTTTCTTAAATTTACAATATTTCTGTAATAAATGTTGTTTTAAGTTTTTTTTCTCCAATCAACTGCATAATATGCAGCTACATGTATTTAATATGCAGTGCATATTAAATACATATAGCTGAAAAATTGATGAATTTTACTCTCTCAGTAAATTAATAATTAAAAATTCAAGAAGTGCTATTATTTTTTGTTTGGAGTGTATAATAAGTACAAAACAAACAAAAGGAATATTCTTATAGTCAATTTAATGCTCCTCAATATTTTACATACAGAGTTTTAAGCTTAGACCAACCTTTTTCAAGATATAAACAAAAAACTGAAAAACTTGAACTTCTACCCTCACCCCTCCCCTTCTTCGCCAATATGTCAGAACTTATGGTTTACCTCTCAATAAGTCCAAACAAAGCTGTGAAGTCATATCTTGCCACCTATATCCTCTCTATTACCTTTTGAACATTGACATGACTGAATAAAATTTGTAATTTTTTGATGAATATAGAGTACTAAGTTACATGGCAGAATGAGATTAGCAGTACAAACATATAATGAAGATCAGAGTAAAAAATACAAGATTTTACCCTGTAATACCAGATGCTTCCTCACAGGTCTTGAGCATCTGGGTCCAAGGAAAAGGTTTAAGTGAAATAAACCTCATTTTAGTTCTTAAAGTCCAATCAATAGGTAATGCTTGAAATGAGCTTCCATTAATATCATTTTCCTCATTCTACTAAAAAAAACAAAAATTAATAAAATAACAAATATTAATTAATATATTAAAATTGAATGAAACACAAAAGGGTATCTTGCCTCAATTACATCTCTTGAACGATCCCAAGTATGCAAATTTAAATTTGTTTCCAAGTCTTTAGATTCATTGAAACCCAGAATTTCTAATAATGAAGTCTCTGCAGGTATTTCAGGCTCAGGTTTAACTCTTTTTAAAACTGGTTCCTTAACTTCTTTGCACCTAAAATTACAATTGACAATTTAAAGAACTTTTAGTCCTAATTTTAAGTTTACTTCTCGTAATTTCTATAATACTACATGTTTGATTAACCTCAAGCTTAAACAGCCACCTCAAGCTTCCAATAAGATTCTTCTTTTGAAATCAATACAAAAACATCACATAAAAAATAAGTTAAATATTAACTAAAGGTATATTAACTTTTTGTTTCATCTTTACCAAAGGTAGGGAAGCTTTTTGTTTCTATGGGAGGTTAAAACAATCTGTGTGCTCAAAATAAAAAATTTTCACATGTGTTTTATGTTTTAAACATCATGGAATATATTTGCTTCCATGTCAGTCTGCAGTCGTGTAGTAAAAAAGGTGAGCAGTTTAGCACTCCCCTCGACAAGGATGGAATATATAAATACAGGCATAGGACGTGGTAACATGGTCAAACCTACCAATTTGAGGGGGCGGTGTGGCCGAACGGGCTAATGTGTGTGCACAGCACCGCCGCGTCCCGGACTATTTAGTGCCGGAGGTCTTTTAAATCCCCACCCTCACCCCCTGGCCCAAACCAGTATAGCCTTAAAAGATGAGGACCCCCAAAAAAAGTCAGTCTGCAGTCAAATTCATGTGACAGGCACGGGCGGATCTATGGGAGGAGGGGCTTTCGGGCTGAAGTCCCCCCCAAAATGGTAAAATATAACCATGTTTTATCGGAAAAAATATTAAAAAATTATCTCTTAAAGTATAATTATTCATGTAATTACATTTAAAAGGGCTTTAGGAATCTCTTAAACACCAGTTCATATAGGTACTTAGTTTATTTCTTATTTTCCAAAGTGATTATCGTTACTTTTATGAAAAAAAAAAACTTTCGGGCTGAAGCCCCTCCCCTCCCAAAATTAAATCCTGGATCCGCTGTCATTAATCCAATTTTGATGAAATTTTCAGGGATTTTACTGATTCCATACCAATTTAAGATAAACCTATTCTTTAACTTCTCCATGCAAAAATAGATTATTATCATCCATTTGATGGATTTACATGTTAAAATGCTTTGTAGTACCTGAAAAAAATCATAAAGTTGGAAATTTGATGACTAAAGCAAAATGTTTGACATATGAAGGCCCTCTTGCATCAAACAAGCCTTCTGAAAAAACGTTGTGAATCAATTGTTTGAGCTCTTTCTGGTAAGTTGACTTTTTTCCATGTGTGCTTGTCTTCAAGTGCTGTTAATTCTTTATTACTGCACTTATCCAATTTTTGTTTTCTGGTCCAATAATGGCTTCTTGGTAAGTTATTTTTTTTTCTGCAACCACCAAAAGTTCAAAGTCATCAAACCTTTTGGGTTGTTTAATTTTTTATCAATCCAGAAGATTTCTTCATTGCTAGATTCTTCTTCTTCATTGACATCTACCTCTGGTGAGTCAGAAAAATCTTGCAATTCTGCACTAGCATTCTGGCCTTCTTCTTGGTAAATTCTTCATTTGCCATTATTGTAGCACTCTTGTTCTGGGTATTTTTATTTTAAGGACTATTTTCATTAAAAATGTTTATTGCTACAACTACTCTATGCTCTTCTGGGTAGCATACTCTTAAGGTCTTAAAATTTTCTTCATAGCCAACAAAGATTCCAGGTTTTCCCTTACAATCTCATTTCTTTCTATTATGTTTTGGGCTATGGACTCCGACCTCACTGTTAACACTCATATCCAACTAAAAATTTTTACCATTTTAATTATCAACATATGCTATTCCATTTTTAATTAGCAGATAGGTAGGTATTTCTTTAGCTGATTAAAGAGTGAACTTTTGACATAGCCTGGGCCAATGAAGTTTTAAATCAGAGACATATAAAACATTGGTCATGAGATTTTTCACTTCTTGAAAATTCACAATAGCTGTGAAATTAATAATATTACCAAAACCTTTTGCTTCCAATAAGCTACCATCTACAATTTTTAGAAACTTTTTACTGTCTGTTAGTTTATCAAAATATTCTCTATAGGGACTCATGTGCTCACTTCAGCAGCGGTCTGGATAAAATTTATCTTTATCATATTAATTTACTTCTCCTATGAAAGCTAGGCTAATAAAAGTATTTTTATGATTTTACTTTTGAACTGCTTTGTATATATTTTTATTCAAATAAGATCTGCAATGTTTTTTTTTTTTGTATGCCCAGGCTGAGAATAATATTGGTAAATGATTTTATTTATAGTAGTATTAGATTTCTTATTTCCAAAGAAAATTTCTCAGTAACATGGTTATTTTTCTGACAAATAGTAAACTTCGGAGAGTTACTAAAAGAAAAAAGTTTTGTTATTGCCAGGCTCATAATGGTAATTTAGGTTCTCCTCTACAGTAAGTCGAGAGGTCAGCTCATATATTGTTTGCCTAGGTGGTTCAACCAATTCCCAGGAACAAATAAAATGTTTAAAACTATCAGATAAAGTTAGTAAAATTTCTATGACTTGGCCATCAAAATATACTCTCACAGTTGTTTAAGCCTGGTGATAAGGCCTAAAATGGAAGGTATGTGATTGGCCACACCTTTATGATCATATTGAAACTTGTAAAGTTTTTCAAGAAGTAAATGAAATCTTGTGGACTCACGATGGCGATATATGGTTAACAGTTTATACCACATTGGAGCAGACGTTGTACAAGTTATTATGTGGATCATAGATTCCTCTTCCATTAATAAACAAGCTAAATTAATTTATTAAATTCCATGAACTAAGTTCATCCCTTTCTTCCTTTGGCATAAGAGTATCTCCCAATAAGACTGAGTACAATTATTTTGCTTCAGTTGCAATTAAAATCTGAAAATTTTAAATGTTCCAATTAGAATTTCCCTTCAGCTTAGTAAGTTGGCTTTCCATTTGGATTTTTGCTGCAAAAACAAAACACTTTTATAGCTATACAAATGCAAACTAAATATTCTTCACTTAATTTAATAATAATAGTATTAATTGTATAATAAGTTTCACTCATTGTTGTACTTTGTAATAAACTGTGTAATAAGGTGGAAGTAGTTTAAGTTAAACGACGTATTTCAGATCATAAACAGTTTTTAATGATCAATGAAAAGTTGTTTATCTCATAGCTCTCATGCAGTTTTCATTCCTAACACATCTTCTTCATTCCATCATTTAACATATGGTGTTCCTCACTCTTTTCTCTATTTATATTAGAGACATTCCTCACTCCAGTTATCACTTATATGCCAATGATTTCTAAATTTCTCAATCATTCTAACCTTCAGAGATGCCTGCGCCAATTTGATATCAACTATATTTAAAGATGGGCAGAAATAAATGAATTGAAGCGGAATGCAGATAAGATTATCCACATCGGTTCCAGACATCTTATTATATTGTATTTGTATCTTTATTTTTTTAATCAAAGATAATAAAAAAAATATATTAGTTCCCTTCCTTACTCTTCTCTACTTTAAGTTATTTACCTCAATAACTGCCTCATCCATTTCCTCGTAACAGTCAAAAGCCTAGCAGTAACCTTTGATCAGAACCTCTCCTGGAATAAACTTATTTCCCAGATTACCCGAAAATTCATAACTATCCTTGAACAACTCATAATAAGATTCCAGGATTCTAATCCTAAAAAAATCCAGATAGCTCCTTGTTACCTCCCTTATCCCTACCACTTCGACTATGGTTGCTTTGTAAATGGAGGGCTGTCTGCAAGGCTGGAGACTCATCAACTGCTTCATAAGATTTATAATTGGGATTCCCAGAGGTTCTCATGTTTCCTACAGGTAAACTAAATTGAAGTGGATATATCCTACTTCCCGATCATAATTCCTTCATGGTGTTTTTCTTTTCCTAGTCCTCAGAACCAAATATCCTACCTATATCCTAGAACTCCTTACTAAGGAGTACCTCCTCTACCAACTCATTTAATCCAGATCTGAATTTATAAATTCATTTCCTTCAGCAAATCCTTGGTCCTTTCTGCTACTTCCTTTTGGAACTCCTCACCTATTGCCATACATCAATCCTCGCCCGCAATTTTTTTCAAACAACTCCTACTTCATATTCAATCTTAAAAACTATGTAAGAATTTATAAATTTTATATATAATTACAATTGCTTATTAACAGTTAATAGATAAGTGATATTTTATTTGTATATAATTATTATTTTATTTGTAATATATTTGTTTTATTTCTACATGTCAGACAAATGTACATATTTCTTGAGCTTCGTCATTATTCTTAGGGAACTTTAGAGCCACAATAAAATTATTTTTCATCCATAAATCGAAAGATTCAAGAAATCTGAATAGCTCACTTGGCAATTATTTGCCACAAAAATTTGACTTTAATAAAATTTTCAAAGTAATCATTTCAGAAAAGAAAAATTGGTAAGCATAGACTAAATTCAAATGGAATGGCCAAATAAATCGAATTATAGTAAAAGCTAATCCTTCATAGATTATACTCTAAAAAACACAACTTCTAGATCATGAAAATTGATTAAAAAAAGAAGAAACTTAAAATAGATCAATAGAAGCATGGTAATACAAAAGAGTTTAAGAAAATTCAAATTAATTTGAATTTGAATTTTATTTTCAATTAGAGGTCCATGTAACGAGTTACAAATGATATAACTGTGATTTTATTATTTATACAATAACTGCTGATTAGTGAAAAATGTTTAATTAACTTCATGTTTATTTAATATAGTTCAGGTCAAACTTGAATCTTGATAAAATGTTTTAACTTAAGCCACAAGAGTTGGCCCTCAGGTCACCAATTAATTATGGTCCAATTATAGTATACACTCAATATAATACAGTAGTATAGATCTCTTTTCCAGCATTCAAGATCTGTGGATTTTGTTGAATATATCGTACAAAAGGGATTACAAGTAGGATTGATGAACTACAATTTCCAAACTTAAAACAATACTAAAACTACAATAAAATCTATTGAAATGATTGGAAGGTGTCAAAACTCAGATTGTTTCATAAGTTCTGCATTTTAGAACAAAAACCTAGTGGTAATTTGTCCCTTTTCATTTCCATGTTTCAACTGAACAATGCTACATAGTACAATTTCTTAAAATAGGTAATGATTTATCCAGTAAAATTGTTGTAAATAAATTGTTAAAATATTATTAATGTTGTACATTACATTTTAGGCTAATGATGGTGACGAGGCTCCAAAATATCCAAAAATGTAGTGACATGTGAGTTACAAAACTAATAAATTATAAACAGAAGCTATTAACACTAATGATTAACTATTTATCCACTTTTGTATCCATGAATACTTGAAACATAAACATTTTTACTTCATAAATTCATCTCAAGCTGGAATTAATTTTGTATTATAATTTCAAATTGCTTACTTTGAAAAGGGATTTTTCCGTTTAACGGAATGTTTTGAAGACACATTTGCAGATATATCATGAGAAGGACTTCTGTTAATTCTAGCTAATAAAGCATTCTGTTTTAAGCGAATTTTTCTCTCTCTCATGACATCTTGTGGTTTTTTCCATTGCGGTGGAGTTTTAGGTGGGACAATTGGGCTTCTTGGAAAACGCCTAGGTGAAAGCTCATTCATTTTCTCAAAAACTTAATAAACACTTAATCAGTAACTTAACTTGACATGTCAGCGATTTTCAAATGACTGAGTGAACATTTGGATTTGGAGGGAACTGAACATAACTTCGAAGGTTATTGAACATCACCTTTTCATAATAAGTTCAAAGAGCATATATTTTTCAATTTGATAATATCTAAAATAATAACAATTTCTAAATAAACGGAGCAGAACTATCACAGAAGCAACTATCATTTTTTTTACGATATATGTATATATCGGAGTTGAGTAATGTATATTTTTATTACAACTCGTGGACATCTATCCTCGGGTAGCTGAAGTGTATGAAAGTCAGCACCATGATTACTCCAATTTAAATCATCTGTGCACTCCCTCTGATTAAGATCTCCTTCTTCTGACCTTTCCACCCCTTTTCACTGCTTCATTTCAACACTCCTCCCGCTTAAAATGCGTCATGCAGCATCTTTATTCACATTTAAAACTCTCTTATATTTACAACTATCAACATGCAGTTTCCCGGACAGAACCATCACAAACAGCGTTTCCACCATATTTTTTTTTTCAATTTCTTTTTTGATCAGTCAGATTTTCCTTTATTGTTACTAAGAACGAACTTAAAATTCTTTCCACCCAAACAAATACAAAATGGTACGTAATATTATACGTAACTAATCGTTTAATGTCTGCTTTACTGATATATTTTTTTTTTTTTTAAATAGCTTAATCTTTGCTTTTTCCTTCCCCTTACCTTGGAATTTCTCCTATTTAGGGAACTTTTTTACAAAAGTGGAAATCCTAATGAAATCAAATTCAACATATTCTCATTAGTGCAAACCAAAAGTCAATTCTTCTCAGCTGCAGGATTCAGAGAAGCCAATACTGACTCTGATCTTCAATTGTTTTTTGCCCAAATCAGAACCACAACCTCAACAACCACGAACCAAAGAAAGAAGACCTCACCAAAGTGGAATATTTCAAGGATCCTAATGACTGGGATACTCTGATGAGTCATAAGAGAACTCGAAAATGTGAAGGTAACTCTCGTATTAGCTAATCTCGAAACTGCCGAGGATATTTTGGAAAGTTTGCAAAGGGCACTGGATAGAACCGTTGAAGACATACTTTGCAAACAAGAGGCTAGAAGACCTTATAACGGTTGAGAATAGGAAAATCGTAAAAAAAAGAAGGATATTACAAACAAAATTAAATTAGATTGCAAAAGAATGATTATAGTGCGGTAATGAGACTAATAAATAAACGCCTCGATTAGGTAGGAGTGCTCATCCTCCCCAAGGTCGATGGCGCAAGAACCTATTTCCTTCTTCCCAAGATATTATATTGTTCACCTTTTCTCAAAAATAGACCAGGAGAATTAGAAAAATCGTACAACATACACAATTATACTAGCTGCTTTCTGTAAGGTCGGCACTGTTACTAGTTAAATAAAACATTATATAAATTTATTCCTAAATAGTGTATACTATGGTATTTTAGTTTTATAAGCTTTTTCCATAAAAATAACGTATTTCATGTTCTCAGATTTTTTAAGCGAAATTGGTTTCCTTACAGGTGGTGGGAATGATAATTGAGTTCTTTCAGAACACCAAAAAGAATGTTTATTGAAAAAAAGGCTTTTTAATATGGATATTGTAGACATTGACGATATATATATATATATATATATATATATATATATATATATATATATATATATATATATATATATATATATATCATATACTAAGACCTACTACTGTAACCATGCATCCATATGTGTCAGTGTGGCAAAAACATAAAAGTTCTTCATGTGTGAAATCAAGAGAAACAACCGTTAAGTATGCCAACTGTCAAGGAGCACATCCAGCAACCTATAGAGGATGCCAGAAAACTAAAAGAATTTAGAATACTAAAAACTTTGCGATTACAATCTCATCTTAGGCCTCAATCTACTGCTTCTCCAACGTGACTAAAAGACTTCTCTCCACTGTCACAACATCCGCAACAACCCCAGCCTTCTCAAAGAGAACCAGCAACAGGGCCACAGTAGCAGGGACCTCTGAATTCTTCAACCACTAAAGAAGAAAGACATAAAAAAAGTTTAAGCATGTTAGGTAATAAACAGGGTATTGCTCAGTCGGTACTTCCTGCTGAAAATGTCTCTTCTCAAATTTAACTCTTATTAAATGGTTTAAATAATACTATAAAACCTCTTTTCAGTCTACTTAAACAACTTTCACAAGTAACACAAGACTACTGTCCTGTTTATGGTCCATAAAAGCTTAACTGTGGGTTCTTTATCCATCCTTCTATGGAACACAAATGAACTTCTCAAAAATAAAACCGAATGTACTTACATGAAAAACGAACAGATATTGTTTTGATAATTGAAACACACCTCACTTCTCGAAATAAAGTAAATATCCTATATTACACAATTTACATTACAAATCACCCAGACAACACTTCACATGGCGGAACTATCATCATTATCAAAACATCATCCTATAAATTTGCCAAAAATCAGACATACAAGCTAGTACTATAACGCTGCACACAACATTGTACTCCATAATATTAACAGCAGTATATTGTCCCCTCTTTACTCGCTGACACCCGCCATGTTTTGTAGTTTCTTTGAAAAATTGGGAAGGTGTTTCATTGCTGGTGGCGACTACAATGCTAAGCATTTGTTATGGGGATCGCGACAGAAACACAAAGCTTATTTCAATGAAGAATTTAATATATTTTTTCTTTATTGTTTGCTTCAAAGTGTATATAAAAATGTATACTGGTTTATCAGCGCAAATAGTTTTAAGTGTCTTGTCATCGTTTTAAGTGTTTTGCTCTAAAATTTTTGAAAAATTATTTTATAGAAGAATAATTAACATACTAAGAGAGAACTAGTCTACCTGAACACCAATTCGGATTTCGTTCATTACATTCAACCATACACCAACTTCACAGAGCGACGGACTACATTTCAATTACACTAAGATAAATTATCCGCTACTGGCGTATTTCTGGTTGTTGCTGAAGCATTCGACAGAGTCTGGCACGATGGACTGCTCTACAAACTTAAATCATTTCTTCCTTCTATCTATTACCTCATTCTCCACTCCTTCCTTTCAAACAGATTTTTTTCTGTCCGACAGGGATCGGTAATCTCTTCCGTTTATTCAAAAAGTTCCTCTTAGCATTTAGCAAGTGATTGCTCTTTGCACCTATTTCGAGGATTTGTAACCTGAAAGTGTTCTATAACAGTTTAATTTTAACAAAATAAATGTAAAATGGTATTAAATAGTTTATTATGGTAACAGATTTTTTATTTCAATGAAATATTCATAATAAAAGAGAGCTAAGATTACTTTATTATGCTAATGGCTGACGAAAATCTTAAATTAACTGAAGAAAAAAATATTGATCCTGACAATAAAGATAATGAGTCAAAGACTTTTGATAAATCTTCTTTAAGATATGAAGATGGGAAATGTTTCTATAAAGGTTTCAAAAAGATAATGAACGATTAATTCATTTACCATTCAATATTATAGAATCTTCATTTTAGGATTTTATTTCAGATCCTGAGTCAGGAGTGGATTATGAATGGAAAGAAAGTTCTGGAAAATGGGTAACAAATACTAATGATTATGTCTTTGATGGTGAAACCTATGTTTACACTGACAGTAAAACAAGTAATTACTATTTATTATTATCTATGTTATACTTAAACAATTTTATGAGATAGATTAATACCCTTTATTCCAGAGTTTTATTTGTAATTCTTGTTAATTGTACAATTTTATCCCAAAAATATTTATTTAAATACATAGGATTTCGATCACAAATTATTTTGTCTTTCATGAAAGCAACTGGTTTTGGAAAACTAATCAAAAATTTAAAAACTTCAGATTTTACATAATTATATGGTTTATTATGATTACGCAGTGACAAAAAATTGTTACTTTTTGAGTTGCCAATATTCTTTCAAAGTAGTTATAAAATGTTTATGATCATGTACAACTATGATAATAGCTTTGGAATTATCATGACTTGGAAGGGCACCACTGTTCAAATGTCACTTCACTATGTCCAGTGAGATGCAGAGTGATCTGAGAGCAGCAAAAACCTATGTAAAATTTCCTATGTTTGTAATGTAGGATATAGTTCTGTAACCAACTCATGTATTGCAACAGTTGAGAAGCAATTAAAAATTCTGGTTTCCATGATTTTCAATAAAGCATAACTAAAAAATCTGTTCCTATTGAATTAATTTTGCTAGTAATATATCAACAAATATATTATTGGAGTTTTTGTTGAATTCCTGACATAATTTTTAGTGTTCTAATTTGTTGAAATGAGTCTAATAAATTTGTACATAAGTTATTTCTTAATAAATATATCTTATTATTTATTTATCTATAAATCTTAATTGATGAATTTTTTATTTTCATAGGGTAAGTTATTAATCACCAGATCCTGGAATTTCGTATTCCCATAGGATTAGTGCCTTGCGACAATCACTGGCAAAGTCTTACTGTAATAAAAATGTTTTTTAAGCTCTGTGCTAATGACATATTAAAAAATCAGCTGGGGTAACTTTCGGTTTTGGTAATTATCTGGCAAATTCAATCAAAAACGTTGCTCAAAAAATGGGAAAGATAAAAATCCTACTTTTACATAAATATTTTTATACCTAATATAATTGGTTCCTCTCCGTTATTGAATACTGCAAGAAAAGTATAGAAACAAATGAACTAAAATAGATTTTGTGGCTATAAATTAATACTAGGATAATAGTTTTAGCTCAATATCATGTATTTTGTTTTTATTATCATTTGTAGGCTAATTTGCTCTGCTCCTCTTATCACAATTTTTTTGCCAGCCTATCTTTGTCCTTTTGATAATAATTAAAGAAATATATATTTATAATAGATTCGGTAAATAACCTTATTCAATATATTTTCATTTTTACAACTTATTACCTATAAAATATATTTTAATTACAAAAAGATTGTTATACTCTTATTTTTATTATTTTATCTTCTAGATATTAGTTATAAGTGGGATAAGGAAGAAAACAAATGGGTGCAAAATGAAGGTATTTCACTGACTAAATCCAAAATAAAAAGTAATGATGAAAATGATGAAGAAGTAGATTCTGATGATGAAGAAAAAGAAGTCATACGGCAAGATATGTCCAAAGGTACTTATGGTACTGATGGGAATTCTCTTACTTATACTGACCCCAACGATGGGTCAGTTTATGTTTGGGACAAAGAAAAAAATGCTTGGTTTCCAAAGGTAGGTTTATTATTTAAAAAGATACTATTAAATAATTATATTTACAATTTTAAAATTTCAAAAACTGATTTTCTGTTTTAGTTTAACTGTATTTTTTTCATTTAGTATTCCATTACTTTTATTTAAAGGCTTATTCAAGAATATGAGGATGAGAAATAACCAGGATTTTAGGTCAATTTTGTTTTATTGCAACAAATTTAAACTGAAAATCCTAATTATTTGTCATAATTATAAATTTATTTATTATTTTATTTTCCATTATATTTGCCATTGTGAAATGTGTTTTAATCTATCTGCTGAACTTTTTTATTATAAGTTATAGAAATTTCTTTTATGAAATTAGAATTTATAAGAAAATCTAACACCGAAAAAAGCATTTCTGGTATGATGTAATAGCTATGGTGAGGAGGAGAGGTGGAGCTTGAGAGAGGAAAGGCTGTATGAGCTCCCTTCCCCTACAGGCAAACTTATCTTAGACACATTAAACCTGGTGCCGTAACTTGGCTCAAATTTTTCTTGAGAATGGTCTAAACTTCTGATTCATATAAAAAAACATGGAAGAATAAAGCCTTAAATAGGCATGGCTTTGTCTCTTTGCTTGCCTCTCATTTGTCTATCAGTGGTGAAGATATTTAAACAAGTTTACTTTTCTTATTATGTTCAGTATCTCTTTATATATTCATCCATCTCTACTTATGATAGGATCGAAGTAATAAAAACTATCTAATACTTCAAGGATCTATCGAAGGCAAATAACAGCAAGTTGTTGGTCTGTCCTTCCGATATGCATAAACTTGTTTTGATAAGGATTTCTAATCAATCCTTTTCTTTTCTATTTTTCCAATGTACAGAATCGTAGAATACGATTCTTGACCATCTGCCTCAGGAATTCAGGTCTTGTTTCCCATTTATTCATTCTAGCTCTTTTCTTGGTTCCCATTTATTCCTTCTAGCTCTTTTCTTGGTTTCCATTTATTCCTTCAATCTTGTTTTTCAGGACATCAGCATAATTTTTGTCTTGTCTTCCTGTGGAAGAAATTCTGTGTGCAAGTCGTATCATATGTTTTAGGTCTCATTTTACATGATAATAAGTTTTTGATGTCTGCCACTAGCAATCAGTGATCTATATTTAGTTTTGTTCCTCTAATTACCTATAATTTAGATCAATAATGCTACTTCCTTCACCTCCATGTGCTTTGATATTACCTTATGGATCTTTATATGTTCAAAGAAAGAATTATGAATCTGCAAATCATTTGTAACTAAGAAATTAATTAATCTTTGTCCATTATCATTTTTAACACCTCTTCCCCTTGCGCCCCCACATACTAGATTTAGGTCCATCCAAGATCGTTCATAACACTACAGTTAACTAATTCACTAAATTTCTCAGATCCTCAAAAAATTGTTCCTTATCCTTTACTCAGATTTCTTCTGTAAGGGCATATAATTGAATTATGGTCACCTGTCTACTATAGTAATAATTGAACATTTCAAAATGTAGTGCATTCTGTTTGAATAAGAATAGATTATATCTTATTTGGCCTGGGTTATTTGTTGATATTCTTCTTCAATTTGGCATGGTAATATTCAATAATTTGGTAATCCTGTTTCATTTACTCATTTTAGGTTGATGATGATTTTCTTGCACATTACCAGTTAAATTATGGATTCTCAAATCCTGATACTCAAGAAAAAAGTAAATCTCCAGAAAAAGAAGACTCTAAAAGCAGCTCTGAAGTTAAACCTGATGAAGCAGAAGTTCTCAAAAGAAAAGCTCAAGAACCAAGTTTGTATCAATTTACAAAAATAAAGTTTTTTAACTGTTCTTACAGATTTCTAATTAATTTTATCAAAAGATATATTAGGGAGTTTCATTTATAGAAAATGATGTTTGTGAATGATATCTTTTGATGAAATTTACTGTAAGAATGGTTTGTGCTTTTATAAATGATTTATTAATAATTTATATCTGGTGTGTTAGGTTGAAAAATCCTTTACAAATCTCATTTTAAATGCTATGTTCACTTTTTTACTTTCATTTACCTATTATTTAATATATAGCAAGGAAAAGTATTGTGATCGTGAAAATTTTCGAATCTGAGTTTTCAACTGAAACACATGTTTTCAGGTCCCTAGAGTCCAAATAACCAAGTCCCACAAAATGGTCAGTGTATGTGTGTATTTTTTTAATGAGGGTAGGTGGAAATCTTAAAAGACTTCAAAGACACGAATAAGCCCGCACCTATCCACGTATGAGATTCTTACCCACTAAAACCACCACCTATTTCCCACACTCGATAGGATTACCGTTAGGTGTAACTTCATGGAGGGGGAGTGGCTGTGTGTTGCCTCATTTCCTCAGGCTATCTCCTGGTTCGCCTTTCCTTCTTTTCAGTCCTCAGTCTCGCGTGCGCTTCAAGGCGTTGTCCTGCCATCCAGCACTCTTGGGAGAGTAGCATCAGTTCGACGAGATTATCATCTGTTGATTCTGATCCGCAGGCATCTCGAAATTCTTCTCTTTCTTCCTGGAAGCAGGAACAGAAGAAGAATACATATTCTGTGCTCTCTTCTACAGGTTTACACGCTGGGCACTATGCTGTACTGTTCATCTTAAACCTATACTGATAGGTTCAAAATTTTTATTAAACTTAGTTTATTGTTGTATAATAAAGTAATCTTTAGTATCATTTAGGTCTCATCCCCATTGATGATGCTTAACAGGATCTGAATGACCAATGTTCAAAATTTTTTCCTCTAAAGTACCTTTAATTTGGTTTATTTTAAATAATTAACTATCTACCATTGTTCGTAGTAATTAAAAAAGGCTAAATATAACTTTTGATAGAATTTGATAGTTGAATAAAGGAGAAAAAAAGAAAAATCAGGTGTGCGCATCACACAACGTTCACTTACCACCCTCTTCTTAGCAGAAATAATTGTATTTTTCTTAAATACTTAATTTTTCTTAAAACAAAAATCTTGTAGTTCAGACCAAGAAGAAGTGAAAGTAAAAATTATACACACTATATTTATTTACATTTTATCGTAGGTTTTTTATTTGTTTAAATACCCTTATATACACAAATTTTAATTTTTATATCACTGTAATCTATACAATTAAATATTAAATTATACCAATGATAGCATTTATGAAAACTGCATATATATATATATATATAATACTGTTGCAGTGCATATTATATAACGCTTTATTTTTGGTCAAAAATAAATCTTCAGAAATAATGCTCAGAAGGTATACATATAATATATTGTTAGAAAGTGGAGCATTGTAGAAAAAACAATATCTATAAAGATAATCGTAGAAGGTAACAGAAACAAAAAAAAATATAAATAATAATTTATGAAAACTAATATTATTTAACATAAATAATATGTTTTCAAGGAAATTAAATGAAATTTCCTAATTAAATCTAAACTTTGAAAATTATTTTTAAGTTTGAAAACAAAATATATAAAAGCCAATGAATGACAAGGAAAAAGGAAATGACATTGTAAAAAAAAATATATTACATATATACGTAAGTGTGAAAGAAGAAGTGAAATATTAAAATATTTCATGGATGTATAATACATCTGTTTATAACCTTAAATAAATTTACAGTAGTTTAATTATCTCGATCCAATATTATATTTAAATAATTAGATATCTATTGTCCGTTTATTCTGAAAAAATCATCATGTAACGTATTAGAACATTAAATTAGTGAATAATTTGATGAATTTCCATTTGTGAAATCCCAGCATTATCCACTTGCAATTAGTGTGACAACTTTTGACCTACCTATGACAGGCAAAAATCTCGTAACTCTATTTTAATAAATATTACAATGGAAAATAATAGTTGAATAACTAATAGTCGTACAAACCATGATCATTTGTAGGTTAAATGTATAGATGTAGTTACAAATCTCACTAGACATATTAGCTCAAAGACTTGAGTTATGTGGTTTACAATAAGAGATGGGGTTATGAGGTTTTTATTGCCTACTGCCGATATAATAAATAAAGTGTTTATTTTAATGATCGTAAGGATTTGTTAGCTTTAAGCTTTAGCTTCATTACAAATAGTGTTATTACAAAAATATACAAGTTATTAATTTATAATAATAACTCTCAAAATTTTTGTAATTACCCAACATTGCCGGAAAATAATTTCTATTCAAAGTAAAGTGGTGAGTGAAAGTTGTGTGATGAGCGAACCAGAGTTTTTTTAGAGCTATCACAAAACAAATCATTACTGTATCCTTGAAAAGTTTCATTGGAAAATTCACAGATGAATTTCGACACTAGAGCAATCTATTACCTATTAGTGATAATTTTTTGTTATTTCACAGATTAAATAAAATAATTTCATTTGGACAGGATGCAACAATGATTTAATTTCTGAATAATAAATACAAATTTAGTAAGAAAAGGAAATAAAATTTGGTTTGTTATAAACCTAATTAGATATGATTCCTGGCTCAGGTATCTGGGCTCTCTACTATCCTATAATTCACTGAATTTGTTGGTTTAAAATACTTTTAATATAAAAATCTTATCTTTTTTGTGTTCTCATTTTATTTTTATTGTTATTTCAATTTAGTATATAACGTTTCGTTTTTGAGTAAATATGGGCTATAATGTTTTCATAATATGTAAAATAAAAGGTGCTTTATTTGCATTTAAATTTTATAAAAGGAAAAATGAACTGTAGATGCTAGGAGAGGTGCGAGGGTCGGAACGCCAACTTGGATAGACATTGGGTACAGCGTGGAGATTAAACTTAGTGTGCAGGGCATTGCGCCGTTGCGGATGATACCTAAGATATTATGCTAATTATCCAAGCAATATGACGTGAACACGTTATACAATGCAATAACAACACTTTGCTTACTGATTTCTGTATGCTGACAGTCAATGAATACCTATAGACAGAAATATTATAAATAATTCCATGATAAATTTAAAGAACTCTCCAATCAGCTAATAAAAAAAATGGTCTCATTCTTATACTGGAGAATAACAGAAGACCTCTGAAAACAGTCTGAATGAAGGACCTTATTGAAGTAATTCTATAAATAAATTTAAGCCATGGAAGGAGTTTGCTGGGTACTGCTTTTTCTCATGCCTATCAAATCTCTTTTTATATTATTTTTTTATTACATTATTAAGTCAGCTCATCAACTGATTGTTGATAATTGAAATTAACAGGCATGGATTGAAAAATAAAAGTGAAAAAAAAAATGTTTATTTATCATCTTTTTTAGCAGGAAAATTGGTTTGGTTTTTATTATATATTTTTTTGTTTTTTGAAATCAATAACATTTTAGAAGTTCTAGTTCCCATGCCATTTAGAATGGCATAAATTGTAATTGGAGTGTGTGGGTTACACTCTTTTAATTTTAGATTCCTTCATAAAATATGTAAGAACATTATTAAATAAGTGACTGACTGTATCTAATTTTATAATTGTATAAATTTATTTTGCTTACAGCTTGGTTTGACATTTCTGATGAAACTAACAACAAGGTTTATGTGAGCAACTTACCTTTAGACATTACTGAAACAGAGTTTGTTGATTTGATGCAAAAATGTGGCCTTGTAATGAAGGATCCAGATTCTGGAAAGATGAAAGTGAAGTTGTACACCGAGAGAGGATCTGATGTTCTGAAAGGTGATGCTCTTTGTACTTACATTAAGGTAAGCGAGTGTTTAGTTTTATGTTTTAGGTCTTTAAGGATAGAAATATCAAAATGAAAAAATATATTTTGATATTCATATTTTATATAAAAATACTGTGTTAATTAGATAATAGTATTATTTGACATTTGACAAAGTATTCTAAAAATTGTTTGTTTAATAAATAGCATAATTTTCACAAATCAAAAATTTGATTTTTAAATGTTTTGATTTTGTTTGTTAAGAAATTAAATGAATTTATTGTGGTCCATCTTATCCTCAAAGAATTTTTAAGATTTTAAAAGTTTTTGTGGAAATTAATTTTATAAAGTCTTGAAATTAGAATGTCAAAGATACATGTAGGGTAGTCACCTCACCAGTTATGAGCAGTCTTTTTCAATGTTTTTACAACAATAAGCAAATGCTCAACTTTTTTGTGATATAATTCTTGGTATGTTTAAGGTTCACTTAATTGCAGTTTCCACTCATTTGTCCCTTTCCCATCAGTGCTTAAAATATCTTCCCCAAATAGTATAAAATAGTAGTATTTTTTACTAGAGAGAACACATTTTATATTCTTCAATGAAAGTATGTTTTTAATTAATTATTTATTTTGACAACTTCACTCCGGATTTATTTGAGATATCTCGTATCAATCATTGGATTTTTTGTTTGGGTTTAATGGACGAATTCTTATTGTTATGGAGAAACTGTCATTAAGGATGTAACAAAGAAATGCAAAACAAAGACTATTTTTCTTAAAGATGGGAAGAAATATTAGCCAAGAAACATGATTAATTTAAAATAATGTCCCTGAAAACTGGTTAAATTAATAAAACTAGGATTGATTTATGAATTATGAAATACATACCTGTTCGCATAGAGCGATCTGCTGCCAAAAAAAAAAAAAATTTTTTTTAATGATTTATACATTACTTTCATAGATTGAAAAAACTATTCACTTTACAATTTATTCATGTGCTTTGCTGTAATTAGTCTTAGCTTAACTCACATAAATATGGCAATATAAATAGCTCCTTAAAATATAATTTGTAACATTAGTTTTAAGTGTAAACTTAATTTAACAACAAAATAATACTTTTTTGTATTGAATGATAAATACATAAATTAACATTACTTTTAAAACAATATTTTTGTGATTAGTAATTTACTTATACTTTGCTACTTGGAAGTTGTAAAAAAATATAAATAATTATTTTGTACTTAAAACATTAATTTAACAAAAAGTTTTTAATTTAATTTAATTGGTTGGAGAGTGATGGTTGATATTTTTTTCGATGACCGATTCTTCTATTCCTTCCACCTTTCAGATGTTTTCTTTTAATACTTTCATTCACTCCTCCTATAATTTCAATTGGGATTTCACAGATGTATTTTTTTGTTGTTAGGCAGCTCCGCGTACTCCACCTAAAAAGTAGTTCTGTTACAAAAATAATATGGCTTCATTTCGCTTTAAAATATATTTTAGGAATTTATCTATGCGCACATTATTTTGACCTTTTAAAATATATAATAAACTTGGTTTATTGTTTATTTATAACCATTAAAGGAACTGGATCACAATGCAGTATGGTCCCAGAATCAATATTTGACGAACCATAGCTTTTAGTTTCAGTAATAATTAATTTAAACTGGCCTTATAATTAGTTCATCAGTTCGTCCCTTACCATTGTGGCCAAGCGTTAAATTACAAGAATAAGAAGTTGTCTGAATTTATTTTGTTCCCATAATATCAGTCATATGCACAAAGCTTAATTTTGAAAAAGACCATGTGTAAACCAATCATAATAAAATATATATTACTCATTCAATTAATAAAATATTTAATACTAAATAATGTATTTCAATATTGGCAATTCATTGAGCTTCCAGTGTAAAAACTCAAGTAACAACTTTTTATTATCAAATAGAAATACAAACTTTATAATTATTTAAGTTCATCCTTAAGTCTGAATTGAACATTGATCAATAGTGGACTACATGCAACACTTTATGATTACAATTTTGTTATAAATTTAATCCGATAAAGTTATGAGAGAATGACTCAGTAATAGGCAAGAGACCACATGGAAGGCTCAAAATAAAATGGGTAGAATGAACCAACAAAGATTTTCTACAGCTGCAGATAACTGGAAAGCTATATTCTAAATATTCCATTTATAACCTAAGATAAGTAGGAATGGAAGATTGTTTGAGGCAATAAACACATGATGTTTTACTATTTTCTCACAAGTTCTCAATGAACTACATCATAGGCACACGCTTCAAGAGGATGAGGGAGGTGATCATCCCCACTAAAAATGTTGAGAGGGTGAGAATATCGTTTCGTCTATCAATAATTTGGAGTAAAAAAAATTAAAATTATTGATTATATAAGCTACTTCAATGAATAAAATGTTTAAACTAAAATTGATTTTAAAAAACTGACTAGTTGGCTAGGCTAGGGTCTAGTGGTATGCATTTAACTATGTTATTGATACCTACATTTTACTTTTATTTAAATTGTCATTTATATTCAAAGATAATAATATATTCAGATTCAGGCCATGGAGATGTGATTCCTGCACAGGGTCAAAGAAAAAATGAACAGAGATCGCATAAGGAACTTCACAATAAGAAAAAACCTAAATGTGAGACCAGTTGGGACAGTAATTGAAGGGAATCGATTGAGGTAGTTTGGTTATGTTTCTCAAATGACCGAGAACCGAGTAGCCAGGATTGCTTTAGATTTTAACATTGATGAAAGAAGGCCTCAGGGAAGGTCCAGGAAAACTTGGAACGTAGGTCTCAGAGACGCCTTTGATAAAAGAGATATGGACTGGAGGAGGAGGCAACAGTTGGCATAGGATCAGGGAGGATATGGGTTCGGCTCTACAAGAAGGCTCCTCACACTACTCAGCGGTGAAAGAGGAAATGATTAAGAAAGAAAGATAATAGTATATATCAACATATCCTAAGATTTTATGATCCAAACTCCCCCCTCCCCCTCACAATTTCCACGTGATATTCTTATCATATTTTCCGCAGAAAACCAGTCGGGCTGTGTTGTATTTTTATTTGAGGTTGTACACATTCAGAAATCAAAGATATTTTCAAAGACTTTTTTATATTATTCATTTTTAGTTGAAAAAGTTCTAGAAATGTACCAATGCTATGAAGGCTCTCTTCTTCCCTTCTGTGTTTAATCTTAATAAATAAGTTATATATTCAATTTATGTCTTTTTTAAAGATATTTTCAAGTATATATAATAAGTACCACAAAAACAAATAAAAATCCCTGTAACTGTACAAACAAATAAACAAAAAAAAAAATAATTTTTTTTTGTCCGTCGCCGCTCAATCAAAAGCGAAAGTCTGCGTCTATAAACTGCCAGTGAACTATGTACTAAGCTAAGCCGTATTGACAAAAAGCGTCAAAATACTGTATACAATAAACATTTAAAAAGGATTAGTTTACTTAAGCCAAATAAAGGTAAAGATATACTTTTAGTGTCATATACTATACTACATTAGTGTCATATATACTTGTAAATTTTTTGAAAATGGATTGATCTGGTCTGAAGCTAATTGGCTCATTTCATTGGTAGTTTTTATTTAAAGAATATGTATCTATTTTCATAATAAGATTGACTACATACCTTATTTACTACATATTATTACTACTTTTCTGTGGTTAATAAACAGGTCATTTTATTTTTTGCTAGAGTAAGTACAGATATTTGTTTTTTTGATGAAATATTTACCTGAAAAATATAATTGGATTCATTATGGCACACCGCCACCTGTAGTTGTCATTCGGTCTTTTTTGAGAAAATCCTCGATATCTTAGCGCTTCCCCTCCTTTTGCCCATATCCATTTATTACTTCGGTCATCAAAGCTGCTTCCAATCCATCTCTCATTCTGCTCTGCAATACCATTATAGGTCTAGAAATATGGGATATAAATCAAGATTTCTTAATTTTTTAATGTTTGTTTATAAACTGAAATTTTGCATTACCCTTGTTATCCAATTATACTGTTACGCTGTTGTTGAAGATTAGATTGTATTTGACTATTTGGAAAAATAGTCATCATAAGTTAGCATTATTAAAAGAAGATCTGGTCATGAATATTTAATAAAGTTTTTACCTTTTGATCTGTTTAGAAAATTTCTAAGCTTTCTATCCTTCCAATTTTTATCTAATTTTGCTAAGTAACCATTGTTTAGGTCATTACAAGCAAACTGTGAATCACGCCAGGGCAGTTTATCTTCACTCAGATAGTAACACCTGTTGCCAATTCTTCTGTAGGGACTTAGACACTTATACCTCATTTTTGTTGCCGTATCTGAAAATAAAACTAGGTTATATTTGTCTTTTATGATGATAACATCACTTAATATAACATTATGTACATTTAGAAATTTAGGAGATAGAATTTATTTAAAAATGCTGTATATTTTAGTTTTCATTGTCTTTAATTATAAATAAAGAGGTTACTTATGCTAACAAGTTTTAAATTTGAATGTGTTAAGAGAAAACATAGTTTTTCACTCATGTTTTTCTAATTTTCTATTTCATATGGAAAAAAATTATTTGAACCGTTATCAGAGAATCTTTAAATAATTAGTTAAGAAGTCTTAAAAATTATCATAGATTAAATTGTATCAAGCACCTTTGAAATGATATTGTGAATTTGTGTTTATGTTTGTATTTGTATATTTGTTTGTATGCTCCTCCATAGTTATTGTGTTGACTATTATTACTAACAAGGGGAGACTACAATCAGTGAGTCACTGATTTCAATCAAATTTCTTTTGGTGATACTACATCGAAAAGTATTGAACACATATCAGTCAAGTGATCGGTCAAATTCAAATGATATAAATTAAAAAAATTTATTTATTTTTACATTCGCCGACGTTTCGGCCAGAAGTTCAGGAGCTCCTCTCCCTCCCTCTATAATTGCGTTTTGTCTGACTTTACTTCTTGTGCAGCAGCCCTGATGAAGGCCTGAACTTCTGGTCGAAACATTAAAGTTCAGCGTTAGTTACTACGTTGGAAAGTTGAATTACTTCTCTTCCAACTCACATTGATAACTTATACATTTCATTCCTTTTTAAATTAGAAATTAAGATAAACTTCCTAATAATTTATATTTTATATCTTTGGTTCTAATTTATTTACGGAGGTTGGTTTTTGTGTAACATATAGAGCCCTATATCTCTGATAACTTTTGTATTGATCAGGAGAGCCATTCTAAAGTTATCACAATTTTTGCGATAGTTGATAAAATTTCGATGTTCATTGTTTTATAATTGCGAAGATATCAATTTTGTTTCTCCATAAAAAAAATATTTATACTAGATACCAGATCGGTTTTGAATAAATATTATACTTAGCAGATATCTACAGTATGGGCACAGTTTCGATCAACCGACTTAGCAATGTGGGTGTTAATATTTTTTTAGGGAGACAGAACTCTGAAATAAATATTTTTTTAGGGAGACAAAACTCTGAAATATGAATTATCATTGCAATAAAAAAAATTTTTTTTTTTTAGGATAATCATATTTGAACACATAATTGATTGCAGTCAACAATTTTTTGTAATGATTACATCTGTTGCATTTTTGTAAATAACTTCTTCGGCAAGACATATCTATGGAATAACCCACAATGCCCACAATACCTGCTGCTGGTCATAGAGGTTGTTATACCATGCCAGCAACAAATATAGTAGCTTTGATTATTACTCTATTAATATTTCACAACATGACTTAATTTCCAAACTACCACTCAAGAACAGTTTCCACTTTTGACTTCTATACTTATAGAATAGTTGAAAGAAAGGGTAAAAAAAGTTACATTTCACTGCGTCATAGACTCTTTAACCATTTTCTGTTTGACATGTATGTCAAGGTAGAGACAGAAAGACTTAACTTCATATGATTCAATTAGAGTAAGCTATGAACAGAAAATTATATTAGGAGAATGGTAACATTTTGGAAATTAGAAAGATTGTTATTTTGCCATCCAGTTTTCCTGGTTCCATTTTTGGTCCAAGTAGGTATTCCATGTATATTGTGGAATGGCAAAAGTGGGACTTGCCTCATGCACAAAACTTGCAGTGGGTACAGATTAAGATTATGGCTGAGAAACTGACGATGTATACGGAAGCACAGAGATACCGCAGAAAGAGCACTAGGTTCTTATCAAATGGATTTAGGAAAGGAAAATCTACAACAGACCAACTATTTTGTCCCAGGATTATACTGGAAAAAGGGACGTGAGTTCTGTGTAACAACACCATTTGTTCGTAGATTTCAAAGTGGCCTATGATAGTTTGGATCAAAAGGCACTGAGAGAGCTAAATGTTCCTGCAGGCCTGATAAGACTGATCAGGATGACCATGACAGACCTTGAATGCGTTGCGCAAGTGCAAAATTATCGCTCTGAAAGTTTTTCGTCTACAATTGGAGTCCGCCAGGGTGATGCACTAGCATGTTTATTGTTTAACCTGGCTTAGAGAAGGCTATAAGAGATTCCGTGATTCAGACAACAGGATTTATTATAAATTGAACCGTGCAGCTCCTAGCATACGCCAACAGCATCAATCTAATTGGATGCTCAAAAAAGTCAGTCGAAGAGAATTTCCTCTCTGTTACAGAAGCAGCAAGAAAACTTGGTCTAGTAGTCAACCATGATAAGACCAAGTATATCATCACTGATCACCATCCAAGACATCGTGAGGAAAAGGTGGGATTTGGAAGTTGTCTCTTCGAGTGTGTTTCTGAATTTAAGTACCATGGCTCACAGGTCACATGCGATAATGCCATTGAAGCAGAGATCAAAAGAAGGATGTTAGCCTTGAACAGATATTACTTTGGATTGAGGCAACATCTATCAAGCATGTTAATGACCAGAAAAACAAAAATTTCTCGATATGAAACTCTGATTCCCCCAATCCTCACACATGGAGTGGATAAATGGACAATGGCAAAAGATACATATCAGAAGTTGGCCACATTTGAGCTAAAGATCCTCCGAAAGATATTTGGCCCAGTGTTAGTTGGTGAAGAATGGAGACGAAGAACAAATTAAGAGGTCTACAACCTCTTTGATAAGCCTGACGTCACTATTATCAAATGAAATCGTCTAAGATGGACTGAACATGTGGCCAGGATGGAGGAACAGGAAAATCCTATAAGATTACTGACAGAGGCCGGAGGAGAGTTGGCTGCCCCCGGCCTCGATGGATTGACTGTGTGGCTGAGGATTCGAGAAGTTTGGGAGTCCATAACTGGATGGCAGCAGCACAGGACAGAAACTTCTGGAGGCTGCTGGTTGAGGAGGCTTACACGCGTCAGCGTGTTGTAGCGCCATACTAACTAACAGAGAAACCTGATCCTAAAATGACTTGTACACTTCATAAAATTATTAAATCGTGTTGTAGCGCCATACTAACTAACAGAGAAACCTGATCCTAAAATGACTTGTACACTTCATAAAATTATTAAATCGACAATGATTCACGTTCATTGTGAAAGCTTTAATATGAACTCATCATCTATTTTGAGTTATGTAATTTTGTGGAATCTATTAAGTATATTTGTAAATACATGAACAGTGGCAGTGATCATACTTCTTTTGGGTTGGTAAATAAGTTCGATGAAGTTTTGAAGTATAAAGCAGGTTGTTACCTAAGTTCTTCATGTTGGCATATATTTTTAAACCATGAAGAATATCCCCTCATGATGCATATGTCAGTGCACCTTGAAAATGATGAGATTTATTTTAATCCCTAAATGTTCAGTTCAAAGTTCAAACTCCTCCCTACAACCCTAATATCATGCTTTTAACTAAGCAAAACAGAAAATTTGGCTAGAACTCTAATCAACAGTGAAATTTTTGTTTATTATATCTGAAAAAAAAGTTTTGTAGACAGAAACAGGGTAAACCTGTTCCCAAATATCTAGGATTGAAGAAATATCAAGTAATTGGCCAGGTTTATAGTGTACACTCCAGCAATGCTGGGTGTTAATATCTACATCTTCATCTTCATGAAGTTAAATGGCCAATGAGTTTTAATGATCTTAAGAGGGTATCTGGCATAGTTCATCCAACTTACCAGCCTTCCTGTTGAGCATTAGATTTGCTGCAGGGTCATTGGGACCTCACCTTGGAGAAAGCTGGATTGTTGGAGTGACTACAGAAGATCAGACATCTGTTTGCTTGTTGTCAGGCAGCAAATCCCTTACTCCTAAGAGATATACGCAGAAACCGTATATCAAAGGACTTCAAGAGGCAGATGGAGAATGAATGTCGGGATTCAACATTTAATTAATCAACAACATCGTTGATAACTAATGTGTACATTTTTTAGACAACATGGTCTCTTTAATATGCAATAGATCAATCCAATGATTCCGTCTTCTTAAATATTTGACAATTCGTATACGTCACTAGCGGATCCAGGATTTAATTTTGGGGGGAGGCTTCAACCCTAAAGCTTTTTTTTTCATAAAAATAACGATAATTACTTTGGAAAAAAAAGAAAGAAACTAACTACCTATATGAAATGGCGTTTAAGTGATTCCTTAAGTCCTTTTAAATGTAAATACACCAACAATTCACTTCAAGAGATAATTTTTAAATATTTTTTTCCATAAAACATGGTTATATTTTACCATTTTGGGAGGGGGGGCGTCTACAGCCCCAAATCCCCCCGTAGATCCGCTCGTAGTATACCTTACAACTCTTATTCGTTTCAATGAGCTTTAGGAGTCGATAAAAAAAAAAAAAATTATACGGTATTCCTAAAAAAACTTTTTATCTTCAAACAGAAATATATCAAACAAGATTATTTTTTTTTGTTATGACCTTTTTTATCATATAAATTTCAGATATTGTTTTTAATGGTATGCACACAGTATTCATCCTCAAGAAATAGGTACGTATAGTCTTCTACTGCTGGCGAAATCGCGCTCAGATAACGTATATATATTAAAGTTTTTTTTTTCTTTCACACTTCCGGAAATAAATCAAGTTAAACTTCGTGGCTAGAATCCTAAAAACACTTATAAACTAATTTTCAGAACTTCATCAAAACATTTCGCCAAAACCCGGACAATAGCTGAGTTGGTAGAAGACTCATAAAGGAAACCGAAAGTCAAGGCATAGGATAAACATAATCAGTACAGACTCTAAAAGAAATTAAGACTTGTATTAGCGAATTTAAGATATATTTATACAGTATTCTTGTTATGAATTTTATTTATATTGACCGTTGAACTAATTTATACAGTACCAAAGTCGATACTCGATTTGCCAGTCGAGTGTCGAAAC